CAAAGAAATTAAAAGCAAACTAATTAAAATGAATTTCAAACAAATAAATTATACAAAGTAATTAAATTAAACAACAAGTAAACAACAATTAAAAATAAAATTTAAAAATAATAATTTTTAAAAAAAAAAAAAAAAATTTAAAAATTTAAAAAATTAAAATCGAATTACGTAACTCGTTAATAATAATTAAACTAATTATAAAATAAAATTTAAAATTTAAAAATTTAAAAAAATTAAAATCAAATTACGTAACTCGTTAATAAAAATTACACATAGGTGGACCATCATACTGATGGTCAGTGGGTTCGATCAATATTAACTTGGCCCTTGTACGGTGGTTGATAAGAACAAAGGATCGCATGTGGATCGATACGTGTCGGGTGCCATTAGCGAGTAACAGGTGTCTCTAATGGATGTTTGTAGTCGACATAAACCCACGATGCATGACCAAATTAATTAGGCGGACCATCATTTGATGGCCGTGTGTGGAATCAATATTAACGCGCCCGTTGTCCCGATGGTCCCGTGGGTGCGATCAATACATTCCCATTAAAACGGGCAGCGCCGAGAAAACTTCGCGGGCGGTCGATACGTAACAGGTGATACATGTCTGGTTAAAGGCTGGTATACAGAGACTGTTCTAGTACACGCTCGTTGTAGGGGAGAATTTAAAAACAGACATACAATCAAATAAACAAACCAACAAATTAAACAACAAAGAAAAGAAATATATCAAATAAATAAATAAACAAAGTAATTAAAATCAAAGAAATAAAATGAATTTCAAACAAATAATCAAATTACGTAACTAGTTAATAAAATAAAATTTAAAATTTAAAAATTTAAAAAATTAAAATCCAATTACGTAACTACTCAATAAAAATAATTAAAAGTAAACAAATAATCAAATTACGTAACTAGTCAATAAAAATTACACAATATAAACAAAGTAATTAAATTAAACAACAAGTAAACAAACAAAATTAAAATAATTAAAATCAAACAAATACAAAATAAATAAAAATCGAATTAATTAAACTTATTAAAAAATAAACAAACAAAACACAAACAAAGTAATTAAAATCAAATTAATCAAAAAACATTAAAATTACGTAACTAGGTCAAAAATTAATTAAAATTTAAAAAACTCATTAAAACTAATTAAAAAAACTCATTAAAATTACGTAACTAGGTCAATGATTACGTCATAATGTTACTAATTACGTCACAAGGTCACCGGTGGTGACCTACTGACCTACTCCCGCTCCTGCTCACCCACCCTAGGGTGGGTGAGTATTTTACTATATCTCATTGTACCTGCGGCTCACCCACCCTCACCCACCTGCTCACCCAGGTGGGTAAGTATTTTACTATATCTCATTGTTCCTGCGGGTCACCCAGGCTCACCCACCTTCACCCAGTTGGGTGAGTATTTTACTATATGTCGGTGTACCTCCTGCTCCCCCAGGGAGTATTTTACTATATCTCGTTGTTCCTGCGGCTGCGGCAGGCTGCGCCTGGTGGGTGAGTATTTTGCTATATGTCATTGTTCCTGCGGCTCACCCAGGCAGGGAGTATTTTCCTATATAACCATTGCTCCTGCTCCTGCTCCTGCTCCTGCTCCCCTCACCCTGCGCCTGCGCCTGCGACCCAAAAGGGACCTAATATACTACTAATATCTGACACACCGAGAAATACGTTTAAAACTCCGTAAAATATGCTAGAGTGTATGAATATAACCCTTTCAAAATGCCAGAATGTTAAACTGTTTTATATTAGTTAGACATTAAGATCATTTTTATAATACAAATCTCAACTATAGTTTTCATTAAATTATCTTTCTGATCATTAACAAAAAAAACAACACTCGCGACTCATTTGTTTATTTGATATGGTCTAAACCCGAAGTACAGATGGACTGACCCCACACGGCCCACCAAGATCAGATGTTTTACTGTAAATGTGATAAAATATCCTACTATGTTTTTTTCATGCAATTCTTCGGGTAGTGGCTAAGCGCGACACCAGTGTTTCTTTCAGACTTTTTCCTCCCCGGAGAGGGGTGGGAGTACTTGAAATTTTCGGGTTGGGGGTAGAATTTTCTGGGAGGGGCGGACACTGGAAAAAGTATATAATTATATTTCGTTGAATGGGACGGTATCCATGTTTTGGGATGTGTGTGTGTGTGTGGGGGGTGTGTTGCTTTTATTTTAGAGAAAATGGACAGCACTATCAACCTAGTTCCCGTTGTATCCTTTCTCAACCGGCCATTTTTCTCGTATTGGAAGATTTATCTTGAATATTTGTATATGTCAATACACATATAACAGGATATGCACATGTAGTCCGTGATGCAATGAGATGGAATACACCATCAAGTGGCAGTATAAATAGCGATGTTTTTAAACAGAAAATAACACAAACATCGACGACATTTTTTTTTAAATTTCCGCATTCGCTGACAAAATTAACTAAAAGCGGTATTTGAGGTCTATTTTATAACTTCGATCTATAGTAGATATATTAAAAGATATTTCGATTTTTAATTAATAACATAGTAGAAACATAATTTAGGCGAAAAATTAACAGAATTTAAAATTCAGCTAAAAGTAAAGTGTTATGATCTTTTTTGATCAGGTGTGTAAATGTGAACGAATATTGGTGCGAGAGATATAATGAACGCATCAAGATGTGTTAGGGTTAGGTCGTACGTTAATGTCGTCTTGTTCTATGTTGAAACTCTAGGAAAAACTACTGAATGGTTAGAGAAGAACATAATGGTATTGAATACCCTCTCACTGCATAACTGCGGGTTACAGAGAACCCAGCTATTACAAAAAGATCCATTTGTAACATCGCGTGTGAAAGCACAAATTAAAGTAACTCACACCAAGACTGAAGGAGGCCGTTGTCAGACTTTAACATTGGAACGGTGTGGTCGTGTGGTAAGTCATGTGATAACCGGAAAGTGTCGGGTTTCGATTTCGGACTAGAGTCGACTACGTCATCTCTAATCGAGAGAGTTCTGGTGGGTACTTTAAACACTTTACAAGGTTAAAATTAACATAAACACATGTTAATGTTATATCGAATCACCTGAAAATTTTTACAGGAATGGATTTATGGAGGGGTTTTCAACTAAAACAAATATATTTAACATAATTATAATCTTTGAAATGAACTGAATAACGAAAACAAATTTGCTTTGGTCGATTAGGAAATCAGATATCTTACATAATTTTATCAATAATTCCTTTTTTTGAAATAAGCAAGTATTGTTTATTTTCTTATTTTCACTTCAATTAAAAGCTTATTATTCTCAACAGAAGAAATAATATTACAAAATATTTTGTCTACTGAACCGTGCTAATTTAAATAACAAACGTATTCAACCGGTAGTAACTTCAGCTGGTGGTCTATAATAAAAACTGCTTCTTATTACAACAAATTAAAATAGCAAGTACCTATACAACATCATTACACTGAAATTCAGGCATTTGTCACATTCGGTCAAGTGTCCGTTTGGGAAATCGACCTTCGGGGAAAACGTACGGCTCCCCTTATAATATAATGTACTTAATTTGTTCTATCACATTGATGCGACATGAAGCAGCTATGTTGTAAGATAAGAGTATCTTTTAGAAAAATGTATCCCAGTTAAAACGTGTATTGGAAATTGTAAGGGTGCTGAGGCAGTGGCGTAGCTACCGTAAAGCTAGCGCAAGCAAGGCATGGGGCCCGAGGCAAATAGGGGCCCTTTTTCGAAAGTGCAAATCGAAAGTCTGAGTGGGGGTGCAAATCAAAAGTTTGTCCCCGGTCGCCGTGAAGGGTCGCTACGCCTCTGAGGGGCCCACTAACACTTTTTGCATAGGGGCCCAAAAATCCTAGCTACGCCACTGTGCTGAGGTAACACAACGGCTGCCATTTTAATCAAACCACAGGAGTAAAAGTTCTGCTTACTCGAAAGTCTCAAGATAGGATCGTGGTCCAGGCCAGTAGAATGTCCCCTTAGCTCTAATGTCCACCTAACTCAATAACGAACCACCAGAACTCTATTTCATTTGTCAAATGGATCGCTAGGTGTCAAGGATTATTTATTCTAAACACTGTAGATGCCATGATTGTTTTCTAACTTTAGCTAGCATTACTTCAAATAATATTAAGACTGTATATTTGTAATATAATTAAGTCCTAAATAAGAAAAGAAATAAAAATAGATGCAGTAAAACGAATTTGACAATCATAAATATTACTCTATATATGATACATACAATTGTATTTTGCAAATTTAACATTCTTATCTTTACTGGAAATATATTATTATTAATTACGGTAAGCCTATTAAAATTTGGTTCTGATTGTAAATTGGTAAATAACTATTGCTGTCTCATGTGTTGTGGAAAAACATAGTTAAAACATTAAAAGATATATCGCTTTTAGCAATAGTATGTGTATAAAACCTATCTTCACTATAGAGAGATGATAAGGAAACATCTAAAAAAAACTGTCCTAATATAATGTCAATTTCTTCAATCTCAAATATGTGCCAAGCACTACACTAGCTAACACATAATTTCAAGTAGGTGGGTGGATTTCTTGGTTGTGGAAACTTGAAATGATCAGCGTGAAGAGAACACTTATAATATTTACATCAATGTTTCGTCATTAACTTTGGCCTCCACTGAGATTTTAAAAGGCCGAGATCCGAGGTTTATATTTCACCCATCTTATTTGCTTGATATTTACTCTTCGTTGACTTTGTGTAATGCAGGGAAATGTACCACTGACACAGACAACCAATTTAGTTCATAAAGAGGTTATCAGTAATTATGTACTGTTTGATTTGAACATACCTTAATTATAGCTGATATAAGTGATAAAACCAGTCAATGATTGCATGATAACATGATATGATGCTACATGTTGTATTAAACTAAGATAAATGGTTTGAAATTAAGACAAAGAACGGGTAGATACAAAGTACACATAAAGCAGACAATGCTACATATTAGCCGCAACTTGTGTTCATGACTTCACCATTGTTTTTTAAGCGGAGTCACATTTTGTTACTATATTGGAACTAGAGTGAATAAATCAAGTGCCAAACAGCTTAGAACTTAGGATTACTCCTTCAGTCAAATGTAAGTTTACATTTAGCAAACCTAAAGTTAGTGATAGATAAACTTTAGACATCTGACTAATCACAGACTAGATATTTGAGCTAATGTATTTTAATGATACAATTATACTGATATAATGATATACGGTATTTAATTATTATGAATAATTTTTATTTTTTCCATAGTATTAGTATGTCTTAAAACTCATTTTGCACTGTATGCATGCGTTTTATCATTACAAGTATTAATATATTGCTTTCGTACTAACCCATATCCTGCTAGCGTTCCATAGCTTGTAAATCAACTGCTGAAATTAATTAAAAACTAGTCTATTTAAGAAAAGAACCATGTGTCTTTGTATTAATTGGACAATATTTACTTTCGCTTATACTTATATAAACTATCTCGTTGTTTGATTACAATTTTGACTATTATATACATGCACATCTTTAAATCTTGACATGATTAAACCATGGCGGAAAGTGGTGTTGCAAGCTGTATGCGACAAGCGTATTAAAATTATTATGTTACATAAACGTACTCAGTTGACAAGACATGATATTTTATAATGTATAATGTTCATTTTAAATGGCATGCAAAGCATAGCTACTTTATATTGTCTTAACATTAATTTATGTTATAATACTCAAAGACAAACTCTTAGTGTGTTTAATTGCCTGTATTTTAAAATTGCAACTGAAAAAGAAGTCAAACCGTTTGTTTTCAAAACATGAAGTTAGATTATAATACAATGTGTTCACAAATTTCTCTATAATAGTACTACCAGAAACAGTGAAACCTACCTATTGAAACATTATGCACATGCATACAATATAGACACATTGGATAATCAAAAACAATTGAAAATGATGTGGTGTGAAATAAATGATAAACTACTTATTTCATGAACATCACTAAATTTACAATCTAAGTATAGTAAAGCCACTTCCTACTTGTAGCTTGGCTCCATCATCAGCTTGCTTCACTTTAAAGTAAAGTTCTTGGCCGTTCATCATGCCAACAACAGCTGATCCAGCGGCAGATGTGTTGGCAGAGTTAACACGAATGCTCTTAAAACATCACCCCTGTACACAATAATTTGGATCAGTTTAGCCTCACATTCCTGCAGCGTTACAATCACAAGATAGTCACCATCATCTGGTGCTACAAGTTTTCATGTGGTTCTATTAAAATGGCTGCCGTTAAGCTCCCCCACGTTAACAATTTTTGAAAGAATCGATCCAGTAGTCACAGGTGTGTTCTTAGCCAGGTTAATTTGACAGATGTAAGGCTGACATACACTGGTCTCTGTTGGAAAATATATGTTAGAGTTTAATCATAAACTTTTGAACAAGTGTTTGTGTATATGTTCACAGTTATGTGTATGTTTACTATTTAACATACCGATAGACTTAAAATCATTCAACAGCTTTAAAAGTTCACTTTCTCGAGTTTCATTTAAAATGTGTGTAAAATGTACACCGGGGGTGTGACGAAGAGTAAAGCCCCGGCTTGCAATAACTCTATACCATTCTCACAATTATTAAGACTACGACGTATTTGTCAAGATGATGACGACTTTTGGATCAAGGCCGATGAGCTATTACAGTTCTTCCGACTCCGGTCATACCCGGAGCATATACTCCAGTCAGCACTACACCGCTTAACAACTGTTGACCACCAAGCCTCCCTTCAACAATTTCCAAAACAAAAGTCAAATAGAACTAAACTTATCTTACCCTACCATCCCCATTCGGTTTTGGCTAAAAATATCATTATAAAAAATTATTCTACCCTCAAGTCAGACTCTCGTTTAGGCCATTTATTTCAACAGAATCCTTTGGTTGTGTATAGAAGGGAACGCAATCTTAGAGACCTTTTAGTTCGCAGCCGCCTGCCACCCACTACCACCACCAATTTGGCACCACTCTTTGTCCCCGTAAATGCAAAACCTGTCATTTCACCCTTCAGGTTGAATCACTCCAGCTGCCGAAGGGAACGCTCAAAATTAAAAATCACCTCAAAAGTGATGTTGCAAGCTATATGCGACAAATTTATTAAAACTATTATGTTACATAAACGTACTCAGTTGACTAGAAAAATTATCAATCACAGTAAATACAGTGATACACACATGTTTATACACTCATGTTTATTGCTGTTGAAAGTTGTGTCCAAACGTTGTTGTGTTCAGTATAGTATACAAGTCTCATTTTAAGTAATTAAGTAATCATTGGATAAAACATGCTGTGGGTGGGGCGACAAATAGACTTGGAAAGAAAAGCGAATATCATTCGATCGCCTGACGATTACGAACCTTTTTTTTCTTGTACTAACCGTAAACAAAACAGATAAACTTACAAGATTTTATAATATGTTGAAACATACATTTTCTTTGTGTGTTTGTTTTGTCTGTATTTGTGTAACGATGACATTTTGTAATTTCTCGTATATACCAAGTAAAGAGAAAGTCTTGTAATCGTGCAAAAAAAATCGAGATTTTTTCAAATCTTCGAGACTTCCCTTAGTCGGAAAAACATATTTTTGCAATCGTGTCTGTACGTCTGTGTGTATGTGTGAGCTTCTGTGTGTGTGTGTGTATGTCTGTGTTTCTGTAAACACGATAACTTGATTACCGTTACAGCTTGGTTGATGAAATTTCATATATAAGTATTACACCAAAATCGTAGATCATCAACTTTTGAACGATTTCCGATAACATGAAAGGATACTTTTTCTAGTTTGAATTTTTCAAAAGCCTATATATTGAGTAATATTTCAGGTAGATAAATGAAATTTCACGTGTAAGTATAATGTCTAATCCTATACCATATATAAAATGTTGAGTAATTTCCGTTGACCGGAAGTAGTAATTTACGCTATATCTGATTTCTCAAAAAACGCATGTACATTTATAAAGTAATAATAATATTCCGCACTATTATGCACATTTTGTTTTGGCGTTCGCTTGGTGCGTAATTCTTTTTTCTACGAGATTCTATTCTATTTTTACAATTTTTTTATTTAACTCACTTCCGCTGTCGACGGTTTATAGTTGGCACGTGGGTCAAGTCATGAAGACAATGCTATTTGTAATTAAATTTGACTTAATTGGATGCCTAATTACTTTTTTAAGAATTAATTAAAATTTTGGCCAAATTAGTAGGCATATCTATCTAACCACACCACACGCGTTATCACGTTCAAAAGTGCTTCATCACGTTCAATAGGCGCGCAATGGAAGGTTTGGAAGGTTTCTGTTAAGATAATCTATAAACCATTTTCTCTTTAAACAGGTAGGCCTACTTGCTCTGTAAAAAAATGTAAATCTTATAAAATATGTCAAACTCACCATGGCTAAGTAAATATTATCAAAGAAAACTTAAACGGCTGTGTCAGAACGTTTACACTGGAGCTGAAACTGAAAGGGACTTACGGGAATTCCCGCTATTATTTGTTTTTAAATTCCGGAAATAATACATATTGTCAACACTGTTGTCAAGTTGGTGTTGTTGTTTTTTTTTACAAGGTCTAGCTACATTTTATGAGGTAAAATGAAGTCATACCCAGCATTATTTTAGATTGTGTGGGCTATAAAGTAATTTCATTTCATCATGTTTTTGTTAGCTCTTCTTTTATTGGTTAGTTGTGTTATATCAGGGTTGTATAGCTTTGTCGTGCAATGGTATGCTTAGGTTAAATTTAAAACTATGCACTACATTTCATTATCTTATTGTGTACAACATAAACATATTTTAGAATTGTATTTCTTAAATAAACATACACTAGTGTAGTGCAGACATTAACATGAACAGTTGACATGTACACATGCAAGAGTGTAGTTTACATTTTAAACTGAATTAGGCCTATATTTTTTATACATGAAATTGTGGTGGAAACACACAATCGTTTTGTTTTGTTGCTGTTATGAGAAGTTTTTACAATATCGGCTGGTTGAAAAATGTTTCTTTACGTTTTTCAAAAACAAAAATTGTTTTATCAACACAAATATAATGGATTGTATACGTATTCTCTTAGTCTACATTGACAAATCAGGGACATTGGTAAACTGATATTAGCATTATTTTTCTCTCCAGTTGCTTTGTTGTTCGGACAGAATAACAGTATCATAAGTAGACGAATTTAACTAAGATTATTTTTTCTTACCCGAACAATCATTTTTTTCGATGGTAATTAGTTATTATTTTTTTTATATTATAGTTATCCCCACGAAATGACTAGAACTGATTCTAGTTAGTAAAAGAAAACATTGGACGGCGTGGCATACCAGTAGAGAGCGGTAGAAAGGTAGAGTCGAGTTCAAATCCGGGTTTAAGTCAGTACAGTATCTCTAGTCTACCCCGCTGTGGTGGGTGCCTAACTCACGTTAGGGAAACAAAGGCCGTGAGCATAGTGCTGACCACAATATCCATTTATATGCCGAGGTCACTGAAGCAGATGAACTATACAGCTGCTGCCCCATGTATCTTGGGTACGATCGGCAAAAAGTTGAAAAGATAACTTAAAACGCTAGCGAAACTAAAAAAACTGTATTGGAAATTTAAAAAAAAATATCTTTAAATTAAATATGTTAGTGTATTTAATTAAAATTGGTGCGTTTTACATGTTATTAAACACACTCAACTATAATATTTCTTTTATTTAGATGCGTCCCAGAATTCAGCTGAGGTTTGTTGGAGAACAGATGAAATATTTGGAAGAACAAATGCAATTGATGGAACCTGTTATTGGCTTGATGAAAAATGTGAGCGATTATTAATATTTTTATTGATAAATTGTGTTATTGTCGTTTCGTATATAAGCATGTAGCTGGTAGTAAGCAGCCATATAGTTTAGCAGCCATATAGTTTCGACGATTTCAATGTGTTTTATGTCATCAGGCATTGGAAAAAAGTAAGACGTGGATAGAAGATGAAAATGACAACCCGTCTATCACATACATAGAGCTTTGCCATGAGCTTGCATCAGCGACCACGGCCTTGTTGGATGTAGCTTCAAACATTTTAAGTAAACATTGAATAAAATAAGTCTGTCTAATTTATATAATCAGTTATGAACTAAAGCTAAAAGCTAATTGCAATTTTAATTCAACTTATTATGTATACTTTTATAAAAAGGCGAAAATAAAGGCAAAAACAGAGAAACCTGACCAAAGTGAATCAACAATTCAAGTGACTAAACTAGTTATAAATCAAGAAGGTACAAAATATTTGTTTTCCCTAAGTTAAAAAGTTTAAAATAGAATAAGAAGTGTGCAACCATTTAACGTATTCTATTGTAATTGAAACGCTGCTACTACATAATTTGTTATGCATTACAGAATTATTCACTCGACTGGGACTTTTAGAAAGCAGCATATCTTGTCTAGAAAGTTCAATACAAAAAACTAAAGAAGACACGTCAGAAATAAAACAATGGAGAGACAACTTTGTAACAGAACAGAGCGACATGCGGGTAAACATTGAGCAACTGACTAAAAAACAAAAGCAGAATTTTAAAAACCTCAGAAAACAAATGAGTGAACAAGATACCAATGTAAAGGAGCTAAACAAAGAAATTGAAAGTTTAAAAGAAAAAAGATCCAAGTCAAACAAAACACTAGAGAAACTGTCTCTAGATATAAAGGAATATGAAAACAACTTACTGACAATAAGTAAAGAGATGCAAGATCACGCAGATACAACTGATAGAATAACACAAGAAATCAAAAGGCATTCAGATCAGATGTCTAACCTACAAGAAGAGAGTTATAAAATCCAGCTTAATATATCAACTCAATTAGAAAAGGTAAAATTGCTAATGATGTGCTAACACAATTTTACACATACTGGCCAGATAACTTATTTTATAACCTGGTTAAATCAAAACACATCTAAGTAACTTGATCAACAGTTGTACCTGTAATATTATTACTAATTTTAAGACACATGTTTTTTTTAATTATAATGTGCATTACAAATAATTAAAATTCAATTTTCTGCTCTTTAGCACAGTTTGATGTACAAACTCCTACAACAAAGGTTGATGCCCATTGACAAACTGATTCAAATCTTTAACCAGAACTTAGAAACTAGGGAAAAAAGAATAACAAAGGTATATGATTAGTAATTTGATAAAATATAAATTATGACGTTTATAATTGTGCGTTAATACTATGTTAATAGACGAGTTAATAATATGTTTTCTAAATTAAGCGAAACATTTAAAATTTGATAATTATAAAATAATCCATGTTTGAAATTATGTTCTATTCTTACATGCTACCATACCCTGTTAAAATCAGTGCAGCAATTTTATGTTCAACGTAACTATGTGATATTTTCAAGCATTTTATAAAATCTTTTTTAGCTGGAAAATATTGAAGATACTATTTCAAAATTGTCCAAAGATTTGAATCTAATAGGTAAGTTTGTCTTACATTTTTTTAATAGCAAATCATACAGCCAGACAGATCATATCGTGATGTTCGTTAGACAGACAGACCATAACTAGATTTTCGTTAGCCAGACAGACCATAGCGTGATGTTCGTTAGCCAGACAGACCATAACGTGATGTTCGTTAGCCAGACAGACCATGATGTGATGTTCGTTAGCCAGTCAGACCATAACGTGATGTTCGTTAGCCAGACAGACCATAACGTGATGTTCGTTAGCCAGACAGAACATAACGTGATGTTCGTTAGCCAGACAGACCATAACGTGATGTTCGATAGCCAGACAGACCATAACGTGATGTTCGTTAGCCAGACAGACCATAACGTGATGTTCGTTAGCCAGACAGACCGTAACGTGATAAAGAATGGAACATTTCACTCACCCATAGTGCCAGTCTCTAGACCCGTGGGTTTCCATCAGGTGTTTGTTTCCTCACCTGGTACATTACACCACTTGGTGTGTCGGGGGTCGACCTACAGCGGAATGCCCTAGTACAGTAAGACATTTACAGAGCTGCGGTTTGTTTTATGCTAGTTACATATTAAGTGACGTGATACACACGTACTAAACGTTTAACTAACCTATGGCGGTCCTAAACTAATATTTTCAATTTGTACTAAACGTTAATCTAACCTAGTGCGATAGTAAAATTTGTAGTTTTAGATACAGTTATGTAAATGTAATAGATAATGATCATCCACATTTTAATTTAAAATGTAAATGCACATTAAATGAATTAAATAATCAGAGCATGTATGAAGTTAAACATGTAAATCATACATATGTTTTCTAATCAACAGAGTCGCGGGTATGTAACAGATATGTTTGTCATGTACATCTTGCTGTTCTCACACCTGCCAGTGCTGAATCAATTATTTCAACATTTAATGAAGTACGTGAATATAACGGTCAACATTTTAATCGAACAACAGGAACATTTGTATCACCACATGATGGTTTACATCTTGTCTGTGTCACTGTACATGAACGGGAAGATAAACAGATTAGAGTTGTTGTGAAGGCTGGAGACGAGTGGTGTACGGCTATAAAAGTGAAATGTGCCAGAACTAGCGCTGCTGGGTCAGTGGTTGTTGACATGAAGAAAGGTCAAGAACTTTACTTTGAAGTGTATCTCGCAGATCAAGGCGCAACTTTATCCTGCTACAGTAGTTTTACTATCGTTAGTTTATAGAAGTACAACACCAAAGATGGTAAATGGTAAATTCTCTAAGCAATAATATCTTTCTATGGGTTTAGACTACATGTCTTCAAAAACTTAAAATGTTTTATATGCTATTTGTTTAGTCACTATTTCACAATTCCAACTAATAAAATGTTATTATCAATTAATATGTTCTACTTCACTAAAATAAACATATAGGATAACTCTTTTTTACATATCTTTTAATTCTCTTTGTGAGAGCTTTCTGAGCATCATTTGATTCGCATGCGTTTTATGTTTTATCAATAAAACATGTGTGTCTGATCTTAAATTTAAATCCGTATTTTTGAGCCAAACCAAATGAACTATATCAAAGACAACGTTTGAAAAAGTTTATTAGGAAACTTCAGTAATTGTCTAGCATATTAATTTTTGTTAGGCAATTGTAGATTTATGGAAAGATACTGTCATTGTGATTCAATGTAAAAAAAAAAAAGAAAAGAAAAACTCTATTGTCTTTATTTACTTATCTGTTTATTCAGTAACATTGTATATGTCAATTAACACATACGGTGATGACGCAAGCTTAAGTTATAGAGGTCAAGTAGAAGATAGCAGAAACAGAGCACACCGTAGTTAGGTAGACCAATAGAATTACAGGAGATGACCGGTCACGTGAGACGGTCAGATGACCAGTGAAGCATGGGTCGGCAGTTAGAGATAGGTAGCGCTAGAGAAAGATGTAAGGAGTTAGAATGTAGTGTTAGGGATGATCATGGGAGTGGGTAGGGAGAATTCAAGTGTTAGTTGTCGTTAGATAGTGCTATTTGATAGTTATATGTTAGGATGTAGTGTGGTAGGAGTCGATTTGATATGTAGATAAAGAACTGAATTATATTGGTTTGGACCATTTGTGTTGATTCCACAGTGTACCCGGCTTACATAAGAAGAGGCGATCCCCGTTGAGGGCATAATAAATTAGGTATATAAATACAACATTGTCGTTACTGAGCATTGCAGTTATATATATATATATATATATATATATATATATATATATATATATATATTATACATACATATATATATATATATATATATATATATATATATATATATATATATACTACTAAAACTCAAGTTTGTTTACATGTTTGAATATTTATTTGTTTTTTTTGTTTGTTTTTTTGTTTGTCTGATCGATCATTGTGAATAGATCTACTCTATCTGGAGAGCTGTAAAATAGTATGTAGGTAGAGAATAATTTTTTATTGCAGACAGACTGTTAATCACAAATTTATTTAAAGACGTTAATTAATTTATTGATTTATCCATAGGTAGATTAACCCTTTTTTTTAAAGATTAGAAAAGCCACTAGTCTCGACAGAAACATTGACGTAACATGATGTGTTAATTTTTTTACATCAATAATGGCGGCCTATCAAAGAAGATTGTGTTCCCATTCCAATGTTTAACGCGTTCTTAAGCTAATTTTCTGTCGGCTTTAACTTTAACAATACGTCCGTTTGCTGTATTTATTACATTCCAACACTTATATCAATTTTCAACTGTCTTTTTCATTTAGTTTTACGATAAATTTCTCTAGATCTACAATCTGTCCAAGAAAGTTATTTATAGATCTAGATCGAGAACCTAGGTCAAACCAAAGATTTATTAGTTATAAATACAATAAAAAAAACGAGACTTAAGCAAATTAGTCGTAGATCTAGAATATAGATAATTCTATCTAGATTTAGTTAATAATGAGTTTCTATTTACTAAAATATTTTAAACCTTTATTATTTTGTATAAATCTTTGTTTCGACTATGCTAATTTTGAAATGCTGGATCCAGGGCCTATTTGCGTTCCTTAAGATTCATACGCGGCTTCGATACCGGTAATTTTGATAAATTATAAACGTAAATTCTAAATATAGCTCAGTCGTAGATCTAAAATATAGATAATTCTATCTAGATTTAGATAATAATGATTTTCTATATACTAAACTATTTTAGACCTTTATTATTTTATATAAATCTTTGTTTGGAATATGGTAATTTTGAAATGCTCGCTCCAGGGCCTATTAGCATAGCTATTAGCTAATGATTAGATCTAGATTTTAGATCTAGCAAGAAAAACTAAACTTAAGACTTAAGCAAACGAGTCTAGATAATTTCAGACCTTCTTTATTTTATATAAATCTTTGTTTGGCTAATTTAAGATAAAATTTAATTTGAAAGTTACTACTACTAGACATAGATCTAGATCTATGCGCGTAAATCAAGTTGCATATGGAGACTCAAAGTATCAAAGTATAGTATAAAAATTCACTTGTGACGTCACGAGTAAATAGCTAAGTTGGTAGTGTGTGCTACTCAGCAAAAAAAAAAAGCAAAAAAAAAAAAAAAACCCTCAAACCAGAAGCAGTTAATGTTTACTTTGAAACTTTTTTCATTATAAACCAAATCAAAACAAAAACAACATCATTTCAAAAAGTAATTAATTTTTAAAAGGAAAAGCACAGACATCAACTCAACGTTACTAATTACTCGCACATGCATCAAAATAGTACAACTGTTGAGTCTATTACGACGATTCCTATGCACCAACAGGTATGAAGAGTTCACGTTGAACAAATAGGGCTTTGCAATCAAACTATAACCCTTTTATCCTACAGTTCTATAAAGTAATCTTATTGTCACACTTAACATTGATAACGATCACGTGAACAACCACCTTGAGACAATGAGCATGTGACATGTATCCAAGCACTAGAAATTAAATATTTAAACCCATTATTTTTAGCTCTTTATCTCAGATAAAAAAGTACCAACACTGTGGTTTACGTGCTTTAGAACAGAACTATGTTATGTGATTGCTTTGTTCAGTTTTATCATTATTTGATTATTTGGTGTGCTTGGCAGCGTCTAAAATGTACTCGGCAAAGAAAACCATATCCCATTTTTTTTAGTAATAAAGCAGATTGGGTTTATCGGCACTCTAGAAAAAAATTCTATGTACACGTATCCAGTTTAAACATTACATCGAATATTGACATAATACACACACACACGCACTGAACAACCGTTCTGTTCCACCATTGTTTTGTTTTTTAACACATATTGCGTCATCTAAATAATGTATGCATAATTTTCTATCAATTAGTTTAGGCAAAACTAGGGTGGTTCGAATTGCACACATGTCAGTATTGCACGCCTCAAACTTACTTTTAACAACTAAAATTAGAAATGTAATATTATTAGCGTCAGACAGTAGACACGATTTTACATTACATTGAAGACTTTAGTAATGTGTTCTGACGGTTAAAGTAATATGGTGTAAAACATACAAACTGTATTGACTTGAGATAAACATACATCACATTACTACGTACTATTTTTTAAACGGTTGTTACATATTTTATTGTTTTAAGCGTTTACGTGTTTCTTGTTGTGCTTAGATAAACTAATGATAATAACATTACTGACAATGGATAACTTTGCTCTTTATCAGCTTAGTCTACTTGAAAGGGAAGTTCTTGACCGTTCTTCATGTCAACATTCACTGTCCGTTTCCCTCCTATAGGCGTACAGCACCTTTCTCCAGCTATCACTCCAATTAAATGAGTTTATTTTCCCACTCATGTAGAGTGATATTTACCATATATAAATAATCATGTGGTGATACAAATTTCCATGTTGTCTGATTAAATGAATGTTAATTATTAGATCATCCTAAGTAATTTGACTTGAGTTTTTGGCCGCATCTAAATGAAACCAATATTACAATTTGCTTACTGACTTACATTACTTAAAGTCTTGCTAGAAAATAAAAACTAATTTTTAAATCCTTTCTTTAACATTGTAAGTTTATGGTTTGTATTGTCAATTTATATTATGTATTGTAAATTCATGAGTTGTATAATTACTAATCTATAAATCATTATGGTCAAAATATTCTGTTTTCTATAATAGTTCAAGTGAAAAAGCTAACTCAAAGATAATTAAAAACAATTAAAAACAGAAATCGTTTTATTATTGTTTGTCCCAACAGAATAAATGTATACTGTGGTAAGTGTATTCTGGAACTTACCAGCCTTTTCTCGCCACCACCAGCAACATTTTCTGTTAGGTTATACACTTTTAGAACAGAAACCCTAATTGTTGTAATTATAATTGTATATAGTTTGACTAGTAAATATATATAAACAACACAGAGTACAGCAAGACATGTATTACTAAGATCAAAATGACACATATAGTCCCTACTGCCAGATTACATGTTAACTATTTTCTATGGTCAAAGTGTATTTCAAAGCTAGCCTTGATATACACGACTGTTTAATTTATAGGATATTTTAACACATTTCTCAAACAGCCACTGAGATATAATATTGATTTGATGACAGCACTACAATAAAACGCCAGCCACTGAGATATAATATTGATTTGATGACAGCACTACCATAAAACGCCAGGCACTGAAATATAACATTGATTTGATGACAGCACTACCATAAAACGCCAGCCACTGAAATATAACATTGATTTGATGACAGCACTACCATAACACGTCAGCCTTAAATAGATTTTATGTCTGACATTTTCTATATAAATTATATAAATTTCATTTCGTTCGGGGGGGGGGGGGGGGCGGAAGAATTTAGCCCCCCCCCCCCCCTCGAAGAGATTCCTGGAAGAAACTCTGCTAAAACAAGGGCGAAAACAACTGAAAACTTCGTTTTATACTTCTGTCAAATGTGAGTGGATATTTTTTAAAATTGTCACGTTAATCTTAACTCCATGTTTTACACGACACAATAATTTCCACCAGCTTTATTTTCAAAAAGACATACAGGATCGGCAACTGAAAAATCACAAACCTAAACATCCTTTTACAACACCGATAGCCACATATCGGACATAAATTAATATTACGATTTAAATACGATCAGGCTTCCTTCCATGGCATACTTTGTTTGATGAAGAGAGATACATGTCATCTACATCCTTTAATTTATCTTTTTCATGCTAACTTCCAATTTGGAAGCAATACTCTCTCTGTCTCTCTGTCTCTTTCCCTCTCTCCTCTCTCTCCTCTCTCTCTCTCTCTCTCTCTCTCTCTCTTTCTCTCTCTCTCTCTATCTCACACACACGCAACAACAAAAAAACACACATACATTTTAAAAATATTTTGTGAATGTATTAGCACATATAAATCTAAAACATTTTAAATTGTTTTTTTCAAATATGACACTTTTAAGTATTTACCTTACACATTTCGCTTTTAAAACTGCAAACCTTGAGTTATGAAAACATAAAAATATAAAGAAAATGTCGAGACAAATTATCAAGATATTTAGAACCTGAAAATTATTTTATTGATTATGTCTCTTGATAAAGTCATCTTGAAAACCTGATCAAAGTAACATGAGTAAATCTTAAGTTTAAGTGTTTTAAAATATAAATAGATGTACATCTATACAACATTCTCTTAAAGACTTGAAACTACAATCCTGTAGGTACAAGCTCTAACACTTAACACTTTTTATATTTGATAAGCAGTCAGACATTTGGTGTAATCAGCTGTTTATTGTATTGATATAAAAACAAATAATGACACTTGTAAACATATAACGAAATAGAAAATAATTTTACATGATATATCTTAAAATAGATGTAGGATAAATATGATATTTTTCACATGCTGGTTATATATATATTAAATAGCTTTAAAATTCACCATTCAATATTATTTACTTTCTCGTATAGGCGTACAGAGTATGGAGGAAGCATTGTTAATAATGCACACAAATCACATGAAATTTGACAATTTTAACAGTTTTACACCTCAATACTTCAGCATATACTGAGTATAGGGGACTTATTTTAATCGGAAAAAAATCTAAATCTAGATTTAGTAACATCTCGCCGTTTTTAGCGTCATCGAGTCGGAATAACAAAACTTTGCAATTTTGTCTCTGTGTCTCCGTGTGTGTTTGTGTGTATGATTGTGAACACGAAAACATGAGTACCGCAACTGCTTTGTTGACATAAGTTCATATATAAATTTGTAGTTCTGATATAACTTTTCAACGATTTCAGTAACGGGGAGTGAAACTTGTTCAACTTTAAATTTTTCAAAATCATATAACTTAATTACTTTTTTCAGTTCGATAGAAGAAATGTCACATATATGTAGAAGATCTAATGCTCTATTTCTGACAAATGTTGAGTAATTTCTGGTAACCGGAAGTAGTACTTTATCCTATCTCCGATTTCTCAAAAAGCGCATACGAATGTTTTTTTTTTTAAATTTATTTCGCACTATTATACACATTTGGTTGCCGATTTATTTTTCTATGAGATTATATTCCATTTAAAAGAAAATAAATTTGTAGTTCTATAAACTAACTATAGTAAAACTACTATAGCAGGATAATTTTGCGTCTCGGTCAGTGTGATCCAGTTGAAAGTAAAGTTCTTGACCTTTCTTCATGTCAACAACCACTGACCCAGCAGCGCTATTGCCGGCACATTTAATTTCTACATACATACAACATCTGTCATCACTCATTACACCAACTCCAATCTGTTTATTTTCCCAAACATGTAGAGTTACACAGACAAGATATAAACCATCATGTGGCGAATTAAATATCCCTGTTGTTTGATTGAAGTTTTGTCCGTTGTATTCATGTACTTCATTAAATGTTGAAATGATTGAAGTAGATCGGACAATTGTTATACTTGCCAGCTGCATATGACAAACATATCTTTTGTACATTCGTGTTTCTGTTGAGGAAAAAAATGATTTGTGTTTTTCAACATTGAATATCATGCTGAAAATGTGTGTCGCCGATTTTATGATTTTACATTTTTATATTTGTTGAATAATTTAACTCATCCTATAGCAAAAATTATTAATACGTATTACTTATTTTTTGTAGTGTATAAAAATGGCATTTTGGTACTTTAAAGTACATTTGACTTTTAGTTGTAATGATTTAGTCTAGTTTTTCATTAAAAAAAAAACAGATATAACAATAGTTAATACATATTCACAGGTAGCATTAGGAGATTAAAATACATGCTCGAGTTAACTTTTATAATGTTTTAGAGTTAAAATTTATTCAAAGATTAAAGCCTAAGCGGACTTTATTGCGTTGTACTGTTAAGTTCCATACGTAATAAACACAATCATACGATTAACAACATCGTATTGGATAGGCCTACATATAAATAATAACTAGTGCTTTATCTGTGAGTACATACACAGTTGAGGTGTATGTCGCACTTATGTTATAAAAAGAATCATTACTGTTATTTCTAATTATTATGGCTATATTGTTAGAATATCCCATAGATAGTTAAAAAATAAAACTTACCTGCTGCGTGAAATTCGTGTGATAGTTCTACAATATATTTTTCTAGATTTTCCAGCTAAAATAAAAATAAATTTGATTAATAAATATTACAAAATTTAGCTAAAACATATATCGGTTAATTTACAAGTAGGCATACATACAAAAATAATAATAATTTTAAAATATAAAAGTCTAAATAAGAAAACTTCAATTTTTAAATAAGTTAAAAAATAATATTTTTAAACAGTTTTACCTTTCTAGTATTGCCTTCTCTATTAAAGATTCGAATCATTTTGTCAAGAGGCATCAGTCTTTGCTGTAGAATTTTGTACATAACATTGTTCTAAGAAGTAGATGTTTTAAAATTAGAAATACACTGTGTTTCTCTAGAAACATTTACAACAGACAAATAACCTTCAAAAAATGTTTCTAAATGAATATAGAAGGCAGTTTAAGCTATAAATTTTGTAAGAAATTGTTATATATAATCATGAACATGTGTATAATAAGTTATTACACATAAAATGTGCATGTATTACCTTCGCGAGGAGGTCCACAAATTTTTGTCTAGTATCAATCAAATGGTTCTTGCCATCCACTTGTAACGCAGAAATGAGATCAGAATGTCTTTTTATCTCTTGTCTTATATCGTCAATTTTGTCCGACTGCGTTTTTAAATCTTTATTTATTGTATGCGCGTTGGTTTCATATTCTTTCATATATAAAGACAGTTTTTCTACTGTTTTGTTTGACTTGGATTCTTTTTCTTTTAGTTTTTCGATACTTTTGTTTAGTTCCATTACTTTATCATCTTGCTCATTAACGAATTTTCTTAAGTTCTTAAAATTCTGTTTTTGTTTACTAGAAAACTGTTCAAAGCTTATGTTAGTGTCAGTTTGTTCTGCTATAAAGCTGTTTCTCCATTGTTTTATTTCTGAAATGTCATCTTCTGTTTTTTCTTTTGCGTCTTGAAGAGAGGATAGAGTCTTTTCAATTTGTTGTAGGCTGCTTGCGATATCTTTTTAAAAAATTAGAGCACTGGATTTAATGTAATAAATAGTTTCATGTGTGTAATATATATATATATATATATATATATATATATATATATATGCCTATATACATGTATATAATTTATTATAGTTTATTATTCAAATCAGTAGATTTCCAAAGAGTCTTTCTCAACTAAATAATATTTACATTAATAAAATGAAAATCAAAAAGTTATTAATATGTGTGTACTTTGAGGTGTACACAACTATTCTTACATAACGCATTTATTTAATGAAAATATTGTTAATTTTTTTGTTAATACTGAAAAAAAATATTTTTACCAGCAAATTGTCCAAATTGTCCTTTTGATTCAGCTGCTGCAAATTGTATTGTAGTGTGTTGAGTAGTCTGGTCTCGAGGTTGTTCGTGTTCATCTATGTCTTCATTGTTTTGTTCTAGATGAAGTAGATGTTGTTAGGTAATTCAATGCATGAAAATCATGTTGTTTTATTAGTAGATACTTGGCTGATTGTTTATTCTGAACCGACTACGCGTTTATATAGTTAACGCGTTCAACAAACACGATCACGTTTAATTCACATATAACCGGATTATTTATTATGGGCTTACCAATTAAAGCGTTTTATGACTTTATATTCGCCTCTTACACACTGTATGAAAAACATGTTTCTTAATTGTTATCTGTGATAATAATTTATTTTGTATAAAAAGTAATAGTGCAGATTTGTTTTCAAATATGCGATTAGTCATTCAATATTTAAGTTATGATTTTAATGTGTACGTTTGTATAATTTTTTAAAAGTTTGCTTGTTTTGTTACAGTGTCACGTGCCTGCATATTTAAACACTATTATAAATGTGGTATTTTTATTCAACAACGGTTTGATAAAATCATCTGCCCCGCCACATCTTACTTTCAACTATGTAAATGGCCTAAGTCTATTAACATCTTTTTTCATTTGGTACGAAGCCTCTTCAACCGTTATCTAGATCAAGAAATTCTTTAGTCTAAGAAAATCAATTCTCTTTTCTAATTTTGATAATCATCAAGAGTTTCAATTAAGTTAATATAAACATCTTAATTAACGTACAAATAAAGTATTGTAATTACTTATCAATAAACACATACTTAAAATTTCTGCCGACACATTCAGCAAGGATGTGGATGCTGAGTCAAGTTCTTCTTGTAATTCAATGTAGGTCAAGGACGGAAGGCTATTCTGGTCTTCTATCCAAGTCTTACTTTTCTCGACTACCTGATTTATTTAGTATAATACTTGAGTATTGTGTGGACCTCTTTATTTAATGATCTATCATGTTCTTTAAGTAAGTACTACATGTTGTTTTTTTTTAAAGTAGAAATATATCACAAAATACACAATCGTATCTTCAATACAATTTTATAAATAAATATATTGTATTAACAACAAAACTATTGGCACCCCAATCATCACAAAACTAGCATTCATGTAAATATGACATAATTAAATCCACATATTTTACTTTCTCGTATATACGAAGTATAGAGAAAGTATTAAAATCGTGCAAAAAAAAATCGAGATATATGCAAATCTCGACGTTTTACACCTCCCTGAGTTGGAAAAACATAGTTTTGCAATCTTGTCCGTATGTCTGTAATTTCCGATAACCGGAAGTGGTACTTTTTTTACTTTGAAGTTTTCAAAAGACTATAACTTGAGTACTATTTCAGATAGATAAATAGAATTTCACAAGTAGGTAAACGATCAAATTCTATACCTTCTACTAAATTGTTAGTAATTTCCGTTGATTGGAAGTAGTAATTTACGCTATTTCCAATTTCTCAAAAAACGCTTGTAAATTTTTAAATTAATAATAATACTGCGCACTATTATGCACATCTTTATTTGGCGTTCACTTTGTGTGCAATTCTTTTTCCAAGAGATTTTATTCTATTTTAAAAAGCTTAAGTATTTAAAATGGATTAAAGATCATGTTTATGTCCCGAGTTCCCATCCCCTGTTGTTTTATATAAGAATATTCGAGAATGTTTAGGGGAGATCACTCCTGGTTTATTTATCCTGTATTTATATTAGCTTTTTAAAAGACTATTAATTACTGTAAAACTTACAAATTTCATCGCTTCAATAACAGACTCCATAATCTGTATCTGCTCTTCCAAATGTTTCACGTGATTAGTGACGTGCTGGACTTGTATTTTAGGGCGCATCTGTGAGGAAATATCTTGAGGGTAAATAATAACTTGAGTTATTTTCGGGTGGTGATGTCTAGTCTAATCAGGTAATTTGAGGAGGTGCACCGTCTGGAAAAAAAAATGCATCTCCACCAAACTAAATGCTTTAAGCTGGTAGCAAGATAATTCCAACAGTGATCCCTTTTAAAATTAATCCATTTCATGTTTCACATGTAGACAAATATTTGATGACATTCTTTAAAAAAAAAATAATATTTTTTTTCTTTTTTTTTATTCAGGGAAAGAGAATTTTAGCGTTATGTTTTGTAGAGAAAAAATTTATGTTAAGTGCTAATTATTTTACTCGCTAAATTTCATAAATTCCAGGTAAAACTTATGTATCTGATACTTAGCCAAATAATTTTTGTATCTTTTAGCTAACTTTCTCTTTTTAAAGAATGTTGGTCTGATATAAAGTCTTAAAACAAAAACAATGCTATCTGCTACGTGCTTTAAAATGCTTTAAAAATTTTAATTGTGATTTTTAAATTTTAAAATTCATTGTTTTAATACAAAAGAGAAACTTTTCCAAATCATATATATATATATATATATATATATATATATATATATATATATATATATATATATATATATATATATACATATATATATAGGTATAAGTTACATATAATTTAGACAGACCTTAATTTTAAACAGACTCTACTTTGATTTCTATCTAATATTTATATAGTGGAGATAATCATAATAAACTTATTATTTTTCCTTCCTGGCACAGCTATAAAACATGGACGATTGACCTTGATAACGAAAAAATACTATTTTAAAACAACCGTCAAAACAGAATAATATCAATATAAGTTGCCGTAAATGAGCATCGAATAGACTTGTGGCTGTAAGCACCACACGGGGTCCACACAAACGATGATGTCCATTAGGATTTAGTTTTATTCTTCATTTAGTTATCATCAGCTCTTATTCATTTTTTTTCGCCATTGTTCAAACGTTAACTTGTCATGGGCTGATTATATCCGAACTTATTATGGTCTAAACCTAATTCTAGACCTAATACAAAATTTAACCAAAGTCGTTTATCGACGATACAATATACAAAATGTTGTAAAAGCTACGTATGAAAAACAGAACAGTATATTATGTTACCTTCTTTTAACTCAATGAGTTGTAGCGACAAAAACAAGAGCTTGAAATGTTGTGTACTTTGTACCGAGGTTTCAACGTAATAGATAATAGCGGACTTTCCCGTTTATTATTTTCAGTGTCACAAGCAATATAGAGGTTGTGGAATAGTTTGAGGATATTTTACATACACGTCAAACACGTACCATAAGTTAAGATTAAAGTAAGTGTACTCATATGGTTTACTGATTATGCATGAACCTTAATTTAGTAATAAAACGTGTATACAATTGTGTTTTGTATAATGTGTCGTTTAATTTGAATTTTCTCGAAAAAATATTGTACCTATTTTACGATATGTTGAAGATCGAGAAATGTTTAAATAATCCGATTATAGTTTGTTTGACATAGATGTATAGTCATTTAAAGAAACTACTAATTACACATATATGTGACTTTACCGGAATTAAATACTTTAATTGGAGGTGAGCAACAAATCAATAGGGACAAAATATTAAATATCAAAACTATTACTACAAAGAAAGAAGTGAAATCATTGTTTGGACTATGCAATTTTTATAATATTTTTGTGGATAAATATGCTGAACTTACTACTCCTTTAAGAGAATTGCTATCCAAAGACAAAGTTAAACTAGTATGGACACAGGAATGTGAAAGTGCCTTAAATAAAATAAAGGCTGAATTCATGAGTGACAAGGTACTGATGTCGCCAGATTTTAGTAAGCAATTCACTCTGTTTACTGATGCATCAAATACAGCGTTAGGAGCCTGCTTAATGCAAGAAAAGGGCAATAAATTATACCCAGTACAATACCTCAGCAAGGCATTATCACCAACAGAACAAAGGTATGCAGTGATTGAGAGAGAGTGCCTAGCAATTGTGTGGGCATTGAATAAATTACAGAAGTATTTATTGGGAAGACACTTTACTCTTAGAATAGATCACACCCATTAATCACAATCAATAAGAAAATGATCATGAATAGAAAAATAAATAGATGGGCACTGATTTTATTAGATTTCAAGTTTGAGATAAAACCAGTAAAGGGACAGCACAATACACTAGCTGATTTTTTATCAAGACAGATTGAAGATGAAAAAACAAACAATACTAAAGAAAATAATGACCTGAGACATAGCAGCCAATCCTTATAAGAAAATTTTGAATAATGTAGTGTGTGATGTGTACTTCCAGAGAACATTAATATTTTAAAAGTGTGAGCAAGATAGGAATAAGTCATAGCATGACTTGTATAAATATGTTTTACTACTATTTTAATTTAGTAATGAAAATAAACATACATTTTGTTGTATTTCTGTGGGCTGTATGTATACTGTATATCTTGGTTTAACTTCAAGTAATGAACATGACTATGGCAGTATGAGTTGACAGATGTGGTAATTTACATATGTTATGATGAGGAGTTGACCATTGAAGTAGGGAAATCAAGGATATGATTTGCCCTTGGGAGCAATTGCATAGCTATGATTTTGTTCTACTAAGAGAAAGTTTCCCTTACTTAGATTTATTTTGAGATACACTAAGAGGTAATATTCCTTAGTGAGGTTTAATGAAATTTTGTTTATACTAAGAAGAGATGTTCCTTAGTCAGAATCATTTGTTATTATTAAACTAACAAGGTTTACCTTAGTTACAATTTTCCTTAATGGCGATACTTATAAGATTAGTGAAGCTTTGCATCTTGCCATGTATTTTATGTATATCATTGTTTTAATTTGGTAAGTGTACATATAAAATAATTTAGGATGTTCATTAGCAAGTTTCTTTTTCAATATGATTTTTATTTAACTGTTACATGTATAAGGAGGAGTTTATAGTGAATGTGATGTATATTAATGAATTAATTTTTTAAAGGGGAGAAAGGGCATATAATAGTTAAATGTATATGAATGTATGTTGCGAGTATGTGTCAGAAAAAGGCGAGATAAATTTAAAATATAGTATAGTTGTGCGCATGCGCGAAAGGGAGTGAAGCGAGAGATATAGGCGCGGGCGAACATGGCGAAGTCTGGGAGTGAAGACCATGCTTTCATGAACCAATAAAATTATGGAAATTGCAGGAACTAGGCATGATTTTTGTTTTGTGTGTGTGTTATGAAATAGGTAGGAGAAAAGCTTGTGACAGTTACGATAAACCAAACACGTCTACTCGAGCTTGTTTTTATTTTATCTGTTTTTTTAATAAATAACAATGCACTGTAGCTTCACACATAAAACATCTCTCATGACGGTTAAGAAATTGATTCACCCTTAACATTTACATCTGTTCGCCACAGAGCTCAATAAAGACATATAACTCTGCTGAAGTGAAATCAAGTCAACAGCCAAATGAAGTAGCATTGACCTGTCTACTTTAGTCTAGACTACCCATGTGTCAAGTTGAGTCTAGCTGCAAATATGAATCATGTTTGTCTGTTTATTCATATTTTAATTATAATGTTAATGTTATACCAAATACAAAGATATTTATGTTAACGACGCAATGTCTTTAGTGTCAATGACGTCACACCGCCACGTCTTAATCCCCGTGTTCATGTAACAGAGCTGATTATTGCATCACTAAAGTCGCGAGTTCAGTCCCTTTGCCAGATTAGGCACGTTAGTTTGGAACATCTAGCAGAGGAAACTCATAAATGAATCAACTGCTGCCTTGTACTTATGGACAAGGCTATGGAAGAAAATCCAGAAATAAAAGAAGGCTACATGCAGTTTTAGCGTGCAATAGGGCGCATAGCATATAACGGGAGAGAAGTGGGTGTAACCCTCCTAACAGTTAAACAATATAAATGTAGATTTTCTGGTTGTTGATAAATACGGTGTGTGACGTGGAATGTCTAAAAGAAAATGTGTGGGCACGGAGTGAGCGTGAGAGTAGCCTCCCCTTGAAAGTGGTGTGCTAACGGGACAAAGAGTGTGAATGAGGCAGGGTGTGAAGCAATGTGGTGTGATGTCAACATCGTGTACCTACTCGTCAGTTTTCCTTCTTGTAATTTGTGTTCTTTTGTTTGATGATATTTATACGCCCATGATACAGATTCTCGTTGTGGATTGTATTTATAATTGTTACACCTGGCCCAAAACGAGCCAAAATACATAAGTAGCCGAGTGTAACACGGTGTAACGATAAAATTATTATAACTTTATGGTTCAAACAACAGAATTAAATTACTTTACTGATTAAAATCAATTAACATCTATTACTATTATCTTTCAAACGTTGATACTTAAAAATTAATCAAAAATTCTTTAGACGTATAGAAAAACCGCAATATTTGCAAGGATTAAAAAAGAAATGACTGAAAGTTATTGTTCCGTAGATAAATGATTATATAATATGCTTAGCTTTTTTGACATACTTTTATCGGCGACAGGGGGGAAACTAAATGTAGGGGCAGGAAGGGCTAGTTGGGGGGGGGGGGGGGGGGGTGGGCCCTGCCGAAAGAGCAAAGAGGGGTAAAAAACTGCAGTTTTAAATTAAAAATGGTTAATGTTAAAAAATAATAATTTTGTTTAAAAGTAACTATAGCACACATCGTGAGTAGCTGCGATTTAGTCCTGCACCGAAATAATACAAGGATTTATGACAATGTAATTTGACATCACATTTTAATCATCATTTACCTTTAGGAAAAAACATTAACCAGTAAGCGAGTTAAGTGGTCGAAACTTTTGCGAAACAGTTCAGAAATTAACTGAAACTTTTATACACCCTCCCACCCCACCCCCTCTCCTCCCCGCCAACGTCTTAAGTAAAGCTCGTCTGCCGATATCTAAAGAAATAAACTTTATAAAACAATTTTATTTCTTTACCTTTTCCTACATTTTGTTTTTATGCAACAATTGTTTATTGTTAACTTTTTTTCTTTACAAAATACGTAACATAAACAACTGGGGTACCATTTTTGATGAAAGTTAATGGAAGAAATGACATTTAAACACGGTTAGTTTGACGCACGATGACAAAATTAATTTATTATCTCGAGCTACAACTGTTAATGTAGTACCGTGATAATTTTTTGTAGGCATATGTCATGTTAACTTTACGAAGACAGTAAATATGAATTATGAAGTGACAAGGTTTGTAAGTTGTGACCTAAACAGTAAAACTATCTTTCTTAGCCACATATACTGTAAAGGGACCTTTTGGTGACGTCACTTGAAAGCGGACTAGCATAAAACTTTTACAATTGTATCTAGCAAAGTCGCATTTTATACTAATCGCAATTTCTATAACATTCTGTACCTCACATAACAGCATTTAACAGCCTTAACTTTAAGAAACAATTATTCACATTGGATTATATGTCCGCCATATAATGAACATCACACTGATCATTTTGTACTAGTAAAATTTTAAAATTAAATTCTCTTTGCACAACTCAAGAAACTACAATCGTTCGCAAACAGGTGTCTACGACAGATCATCAAGATGACCTGGTAAAATACCAACTAAACACCTGTGACAATCACAAAACAACAGCCATTAGATAAGGACATTATACCCGTTAAATGGGGATGGGTTTGACATACCCTGAGAAGGAATGAAGATAATTATGCAAAGAAAGCTGTAGACTAGAATCGATAGGGAAGAAAGAAAGTGGGCCGGCCGAAAGATCACAGACGAGAACGGTAGAAGTAGAAGCTAATGACCTCGGCTCACGTAAGGAAAGCTGCCCAAATCCCAGTCTGGTGTCGAGGTGTGATTGTAGCCATTTGTTCCTCAGGGGCCACAAAGGATTCAGTCAATTGATGATTTATATCTCATCTGTGTCAGTCTACATGAATGGGGAACTAAACTTATTGGAGTTGATGTAATGGTTGGAGACATGTTGTGTACGTATATAGAAGTTATTCGGTGAGGACTAGCGCAGCTGGCTCAGCGGTTGTTGACATGAAGAAAGGTCAAAACCTTTATTGCAAAATGAACTGCTCAGTACAAGACCCGCATTTATCCTGCTACAGTAGTCTGCATGTCTTTTTTTTTGCATCGTTACAAATGCAAAGGCTTGTTTGACTTTAGAGATGCATGTTTTTAATTACAGTAAAGTATCCTCGTTCGTAAATAACAATGCATCTTAAATCTATAAAATATTTTACTTCCACAACTTCTCTGCTGGTTATTTTAATCGTTCCTTTGCTATTTGTATTTTGCTGTATAACTTGGGTTTTGTTAGTGTGTAGTTTGAGTCTTGCTCCGTTGTAAAAGAAATAAGTTTTTTTAATTGTTTTAATTTTTTTTATTGCATTTCTTTTTGACTAGAGTTATGTCGAAACATGTTCGATTGTAAATTCAAAATACAATACAACTAATAACCACTATGTTACACACGCTTAAATCTTTGTGTGTACTGTGCTTTTGTCTAGATAGTGTCTAATTAATGTTTATTTGTTACTTTTTCAGCCCTCACAGTTCCACATAATCCGCTGAAATCACATATTGTTTGTTCTCTTTGACAACAGTTATAGTTATAGTCTATAGCATAACTCTGTTTTTACGTTTGTACGGACAATACTTTGTCTAAACTACATTATACATACTTTTATATATGTATTAAACAAACTTACACTGTACATTGTCTAATCTACATTGTACATACTGCTGTATATGTGTTAAACTTAACAAACGTAAAAAAACATATGGCAAGTAGACAGTAACATCGCATTTAACCATATAATCACATTCCAATAAATATAAGATCTTTGAAATGTTTGAATTTTTTTTAATATGTTAGAATAATGTTTACATACAGACCTAAAGTATTTAGGGGATGTATTGTGTGTGTATGGGAGGGGGTTGACTGGTTTGGATTAGGGATAACTAATAGTTGTGCCATTTGAGCTTAGGGCTTACTTGAGAAAGTTCAGTTAATTCCTTCTTAAACACGGCTACGATTGACAATATGTTTATACAATTCATCTTTTTTTTTCAAGACATTTTCTATACGAAAACAAACCATTACCGCTGACATTTTACTCATCAAATATCTCTTATGAAGTAGATCTTTCACACTAACCTTTACTTCTATTCGATACAGATCTCAATAAAAACAATAAAATCAAATACATCAGCTTAAATTAAGTGAAAAAAAAAATATTTCCAGCCAAATGTGTACAATTTTTGAAATAGCTCTGATCTGCCTCTGTAGTGTACGCCACACATGGGTCTAGTTAAGCTTTGCTGCAAATATAAATCACGTTTGTCTGGTTTATTAAAATATAGGTTGTAAAATATTATTGAAATTATCAGTTCTCGATTTATTAATTTATTTTTATTATAAAATTAATTTTACAAGAAACACACAAAAATTAAATGACGCAAAGCACAATGAGTCTATGACGTCACACTTCGACGTCATTATCCCCGTGTTCAGGTAAGAGAGCTCATTATTGCTCACACTACAGTCCTGAGTTTAATCCCTCTACCAGATGAGGCCCAATAACCAGAGACAGCAACCTTCTAGAAAAGAAAATTCTTAAATGAAACAACTGCTGTTCAAGTTTAAAAACATCTCACGCATAGAAGATTAAAATTAACAATTTTTAAATGGTTTAGTTATGGATTGTCCCAACAAATTAGCTATATCTGTGGTAAGTGTATTTTGGAACTTAAGGGGATATGCTATGTTTTTTTCTATTTTTTACAGTTTAAGATCTAAAGCCTTTTGAATAGTTTTATCATATTTGGCATATAAAAGGAAGTATTACACAGCAAAAAAAAAGGTCGAAAACAATTTTGGTTGTCATGGAAACCCAAAAAAACCTCCGCCATTTTGAATTTTTCGGTACTTTTAAAAATACTAAGGCTTTTTTTATTTATGCACCTATAGCAATAAAATTTAAACTGCTTATATTTCAGAATATATTAAAACTTTTCTCACGACAACTTTTAAAAATAATTACTAGTAAGAATTTTACAAGGTCTAAAAAATCGTACCGTTTTTAGTATTCAATAGTTTCAAAATGTGCATATTAATTACCAAATACTTTTTTTCTATGAAAGCAATCACAATTCCCTCGTGACATAAGTTGTATTTTCGCATCAAGAACATTTACTAAAAATATGGTTGGCATTGTTTAATAAATAAAAAAGCAGTAGGCTATTTAGTGTTAAAAACCTGCGAACTGAGAAAAACAGCCAAAAGTAACAAAAACTAGGTCAGGAAAGTACCATATCTGTGTAAACTGCAAAGCAGATTGTAAGCTTTGGGTGCTTCCAAGATCTAGGAAATTACGTTTATTAAATACATGAAAAATCCAGCTTTCCAATGATGTCAAATACAATATAATGACGGATATAAAACTTTTCATAGAGAGCTTGTAAGATTGGGAAAAATTGATTATTTTTTAATTAATAGGGTCATAAAAATCGTAATTCAAACACATACAATATTTTTTTCTCTTTAAAGTTATTATTTTCTTTATACAAAAATGGACAAAGTATCCAAAAGTGCAAGAAACCCATCATGACGAAAAACAAGAAATTTTGTGATTTTTTCCCGCGCATATCCCCTTAACAGCCATTTCTTGACACCACCATAAACATCTTCTGTTAGGTTATACAATTTTAGAACTCAACCCCTAATTGTCGTAATTATAATTGTATATCATTTGACTAGCAAATAGATATAAACAACACAGAGTACAGCAATACATCTATTACTAAGATTTAAATGACACCTATGGTCCCTACTGTCAGTTTACAGGTTAACTATTTTCTATGGTCAAAGTATATTTCAAAGCAAGCCTTGATATACAAGAATCTTGATTAATTATAGTAAATTTTAACACATTTCTCAACCATTTATTGAAACAATATTGATCTGACGATAGCATTACCATAAAATGCCAGCCTTACAATAGATTTTAAGTCTGACATTTTGCTGGACTTTATTTTGTACCCTACACAAATCCCAATCCGAAAAAGTTTAATAACCTTTTGACGACTGTAGATCTATATAACAAGAGATGTTCTGTGCAAACAAAGAAAACAAGTGTTAAGTTACCTAAATACATGTGTTAAGAAACTAGAAAAACAACAGTTTTGTCCCTTGTAAGTTGACGTCACGTATTAGGTAATATCGGGATTTCCCTTTTTAAAGTTTCACCTTAACGGATGAACTTGGCAGATGTGGAAGGCCTTCAGCACTCTAAAGACAAGACCGGTTCTACTGTAAGCTAAACATATTCCAAAAGTTATAAAGTAAGTGTAAACATCCCATTTACATACAATTAAATTCATCTTTAGACAGTAACGACAACAATAAACATGAAACGTATGCTGAATAAGCTGCACATTTTATTTAAACTATTTGATATTTGTCTTTTATTAAATATAAAAATAATATTTGTTTAAGTTAATTTAAAATATACATTAAATTTTACTTAGTTTGAGATAGACATAAATATGACATTTTAAGTGCTACGGATAAATAGGTGTGATTTTTTAACCATTTAAATTTGTTAAAGTTGGAGGATATCGACTATCTCTAGTACGTGTCGTCTCTTGTCGCCATCTTTATCACTTGTAAACATTTTTTTATAACATCGGGTTTTCCCGTTAGATCCTTTATAATTTTACTAAATAGGCCTACTTGCCTACATTTATTTAGTAAAGAGTGAAATTTCATGTAGTAAGTTAAAAATCATTATCAAAAGAAATAAGACGTTTAAACGTCATGATAGATATTTAATCAGCAAGAAAGCCTTTGACAAAATAAAGCTGTTTTCTGAATAATACTGCTATCAAATTTAATCGACTGAGACTTAAACTATAAAAGTTGTCTTAACGTTTCTATTTTTGAAATTGTCTTTAAATTTTTCTGGTTAATCAATTTAATTAGTCTATAGCGCGACCAAATATTTTAATTTTTTTTCTTAGATGCGACCTAGGATTCAAGTTGAACTTATTGCACGGCATAAGAAATATTTGGAAGAACAGTTACAAGTTCTGGAACCTGTCTTAGATGTTATGAAACAAGTAATTGATTATTAATGTTGTTATTGATTAATAAATACATAGAAGAATATTAAACGCTTGTCACGTTTCATTGAAAAAATCATATAATTTTTTACAAGGCTGTACAAAAAAGTAACTCTTGGATAGAAGAGGATAAAAATGAACATCCCTCCTTCACCTACATAGATGTACATCAAGAGCTAGACTCAGCTACTTTGAGTTTGTTGAATGCGGCATCATCAATCATAAGTACATGTTTCTATAATTATAATAATGTGAGAGTTGTAAATCTCTATTAAATATATCTACTACTAGCCTAATGAAAGCAAACTACGAACGTAAAAAAATATACCGTACATCAAACAAAATTAAGATTTGAAACATGAAAGAAATTGATACAAATATTTAACAACACATATCCAATTATCAAGTTATGTAATGACACATTATTTTTATTCATTTACATTACCTAGATGAAAATAAAGACTACGTAGATGTGGATGAATATACGCCATCATTACCCCAGTCAACACCACAGACTACAGCAGCAGAAAAACGTGACCTTAGTGAATCAAATCATCAAGTCCCTAGACAATCAACAGCGGGTATAAACCATTTTGAAACAAAACAATTAATTGTAAAACATAAAATGTAAAAGTGTATGCCTTATTTTCTTCTACTAGACATAATTAATACTTCGAATAATTATTTTTGCCTTTTTATTGCATTAGAAATAATGAGTCGACTTGAGCAGATAGAGACAGCCATATCTTCTCTACAAGACGTCAGTCGACTTGAGCAGATAGAGACAGCCATATCTTCTCTACAAGACGTCAGTCGACTTGAGCAGATAGAGACAGCCATATCTTCTCTACAAGACGTCAGTCGACTTGAGCAGATAGAGACAGCCATATCTTCTCTACAAGATGTCAATGACAAGTCTACAGATGACATATCAGAAATAAAACAATGGAGAGACAACTTTGTAACAGAACAGAGTGACATGGGGGTAAACATCGAACAACTGAATAAAAAACAAAAGCAGAATTTTAAAAATCTTAGAAAACAAATGAGTGAACAAGATAACAAAGTAAAGGAGCTGAAAAAAGAAATTGAAAGTTTAAAAGAAAAAGAATCCAAGTCAAACAACACACTAGAGAAACTGTCTCTGGATATGAAAGAATATGAAAACAACTTACAAAAAATAACTAAAGAGATGCAAGTTCACGCAGACAAAACAGATATTATAACTCAAGAAATGAAAAGACATTCTGTTAAGATGTCTACGCTACAAGAAGAGATTTCTAAAAACTTGCGGAATACATCAACTCAATTAGAAAAGGTAAAATTGCTAATTATCTGTGTACACAATTTTACACATGCTGGCCAGATAACTTATTTCACATTTAATAACCTGGTTAAATCAAAACACAACTAAGTAGCTTTATCGCCAGTTATACTTTAATATTATTACTAGATTTAAAACACGTGTGTATGTTAGTTTTAATGTGCAGTAAAAATAATCAAAATTTTAATGCATTAATTGAATCTTCTGCTCTTTAGCACAGTGTGATGTACACACTACTTCAACAGAGATTGATGCCCATCGACAAACTGATTCAAATCTTTAACCAGAACTTAAAAACTCGGGAAGAAAGAAAAACGAGGGAATATGTATAGTGATTTTATTAAAAATTAAATTCCGACGTTGATAAATCCGGTATTAAATATTAACACTCTGTTAATAAACAAGTTACTAACATATCATTTCTTAAATTAAGCGATACATTTATAATTTAAAAAAAAAAGATTTGAATTACTTTCTATTCTTACAAGTTGCCCTACCAAAGTTAATGTCATTGTAGCAATTGTATGTTTTACGTAACCATGTGACTTTTTCATTCATTTTATAAAATATCTATTTTAGGTGGAAAATATTGAAGATACCATTTCAAAATTGTCCAAAGATTTGAATCTAATAGGTAAGTTTGCCTTAAAAAATTAATTTTAGCCAGACAGACCATGACGTGATGTTCGTTAGCCAGACAGACCATAACGTGATGTTCGTTAGCCAGACAGACCATAACGTGATGTTCGTTAGCCAGACAGACCATAACGTGATGTTCGTTAGACAGACAGACCATAACGTGATGTTCGTTGGCCAGACAGACCATAACGTTATGTTCGTTAGACAGACAGACCATAACGTGATGTTTGTTAGCCAGATCATAACGTGATGTTCGTTAGCCAGACAGACCATAACGTGATGTTCGTTAGCCAGACAGACCATAACGTGATGTTCGTTAGCCAGACAGACCATAACGTGATGTTTGTTAGCCAGACAGACCATAATGTGATAAAGAATGGAACATTTCACTCACCCATAGTGCCAGTCTCTAGACCCGTGGGTTTCCGCCAGGTGTTTGTTTCCTCACCTGGTACATTACCCCACCTGGTACATTACACCACCTGGTACATTACACCACCTGGTACATTACACCACCTGGTACATTACACCACCTGGTACGTTACACCACCTGGTACATTACACCACCTGGTACATTACACCACCTGGTACATTACACCACCTGGTACATTACACCACCTGGTACGTTACACCACCTGGTACATTACACCACCTGGTACATTACACCACCTGGTACATTACACCACCTTGTACATTACACCACCTGGTACATTACACCACCTGGTACATTACACCACCTGGTACATTACACCACCTGGTACATTACACCACCTGGTACGTTACACCACCTGGTACATTACACCACCTGGTACATTACACCACCTGGTACATTACACCACCTGGTACATTACACCACCTGGTACATTACACCACCTGGTACATTACACCACCTGGTACATTACACCACCTGGTACATTACACCACCTGGTACATTATACCACCTGGTACATTACACCACCTGGTACATTACACCACCTGGTACATTACACCACCTGGTACATTACACCACCAGGTACATTACACCACCTGGTACATTACACCACCTGGTACATTACACCACCTGGTACATTACACCACGTGGTACATTACACCACGTGGTACATTACACCACCTGGTACATTACACCACCTGGTACATTACACCACCTGGTACATTACACCACCTGGTACATTACACCACCTGGTACATTACACCACCTGGTACATTACACCACCTGGTACATTACACCACCTGGTACATTACACCACCTGGTACATTACACCACCTGGTACATTACACCACCTGGTACATTACACCACCTGGTACATTACACCACCAGGTACATTACACCACCTGGTACATTACACCACCTGGTACATTACACCACCTGGTACATTACACCACCTGGTACATTACACCACCTGGTACATTACACCACCTGGTACATTACACCACCTGGTACATTACACCACCTGGTACATTACACCACCTGGTACATTACACCACCTGGTACATTACACCACCAGGTACATTACACCACCTGGTACATTACACCACCTGGTACATTACACCACCTGGTACATTACACCACGTGGTACATTACACCACGTGGTACATTACACCACGTGGTACATTACACCACCTGGTACATTACACCACCTGGTACATTACACCACCTGGTACATTACACCACCTGGTACATTACACCACCTGGTACATTACACCACCTGGTACATTACACCACCTGGTACATTACACCACCTGGTACATTACACCACCTGGTACATTACACCACCTGGTACATTACACCACCTGGTATGTCGGGGGTCGACCTACAGCGGTCCACCACAGTACCGTTTGATATTTACAGAGTTAGAGTTTAAGTAAACTAATATCAAATAACGTCACGTCATCCCTTTATGTTTCTAATATTAAGACGATGCCCCATTAGAGACTAAATCTAAAATAAAATAATAACTTGAAAACATTTATAATTGTCGCATTTTAAACATTTTAATATCTCATTAATTGACTGTAACCTGAAATGAAAAATACAAAAGGTAGAATATGCAGCTCTTGTTTCGGTCATTATTAAGTACAACAGAACAACTTTAGTTCTAGTAATTCTTGTTTCAATAGATAATCCATATACAATTAAACTACCCGGATGGTCACTTGCCGGATGCGACAAATGCCCGAATTGATACTTGCCCGAATGCGACAAATGCCCGAACGGACACTTGCCCGAATGGGACAAATGCCCAAAAGCCACTTACCCGAAGACCTTTTGCCCGGTAAATGGTAACATTACAGATTACCAAATAGTCATCCTTAATCAACTTAAATTTGAAATTTTGATAATCAAATTGTCTAACCAAATAGAAAGGGAACAAAATACTATTTAATATCTGCAAGCAGCCATTATGAATTAATTAGAATTTGCTATATTATAGAAAGTGTACGACCTACATCTTTTGCTATCTATAAAACAAGACGAAAATATAATTTTCACTTATCTGAGGTTTTTTAAAAATGACTCACTTTCTGTATTAAGTAATAGCTTCAAAACACATGTATGGAGTTTATGTTTAGTGTTAATAAAATAAACTAATGAAACGACAATTTACAAATAATATGGATCAAATAGTCAAATAGCATTCTTGAAATTAAACATGTAAATCATAAATATGTTTTCCAATCAACAGAGTCACGTGTATGTAACAGATATGCTTGTCATGTACAGCTTGCTGATCGCACACATGTCAGTTATGGATCAATTATTTCAACATTTGATCAAGTACGTGAATATAACGGTCAACATTTTAATCAAACAACAGGAAAATTTGTATCACCACATGATGGTTTATATCTTGTCTGTGTCACTCTACGTGAATGTGAAGATAAACGGATTAGAGTTGAAGTGTGGGCTGGAGACGAGTGGTTTACGACTATAGAAGTGAAATGTGCCGCCACTAGCGCTGCTGGGTCAGTGGTTGTTGACATGAAGAAAGGTCAAGAACTTTACTTTCGAGTGTTTCTCGTAGATAAAGGCGCAGCTTTATCCTGCTATAGTAGTTTTACTATCGTTAGTTTATAGAAGTACAACACAAAACATGTTGGAAGGGAAATTCTCAAAACAATAAAATATGTAACCACCATGTAATACACACGCTAAAAACTTACTATGTGTGTAGACTACATGTCCGCACAAACGTAAGTGGTTTATATGTTATTTGTTTAGTCATCATTTGGGAGTTCTAGCTTATTCAATGTGCTCACCAATAATGTGTCATACTTGTTAGAATCATTTTTGTTTTTGGTTTGTATTTAGTAACATTGTGTCTGTATATTAACATACATTAACACCTATAATAATTATAACATCTATTTAGTTATCAAGTATATATGTATAAATATATATATATATATATATATATATATATATATATATATATATATATATATATATATATATATATATGTATATATATATATATATATATATATGTTTGTGTGTGTGTGTATTCATGTATTTGTATGTATATGTATGTTAACACAGAGCCTTACATCGCAAAATCAAAAAGCTCAGCAGTAGTGACAATCAAATCTACAGCCAAATGTGTACAATCATTGATTCCGATCTGTCTATTTAACAAATATAAATCATGTTTGTCTGTTTTATTTGATATTTTCATTTTAATTTTAAAATTAATACTATACCAAACACAAACAAATTAAACGACGCTATGTCTAATGAGTCTAAGACGTCACACCCCTACGTAAGTTTCCCGTTTTCAAGTAATGGATCTCATTATTGCTTTGACTGAAGTAGAGAATTCGGTCCCTTTCCAAAATTTGGCTCGATAACCAGGGACAAATACTCATCTAGGAGAAAAACTCCTAAATGAAACAAGTGCTGACTTGTTCTTTGTTCTTTATATGAACAAATGCTATGGAATCAAAGCAAGAAATAAAAGCAGGATGTACAGTTTTAGCGTGTAATATAGCGCATAGCGTTTGACCCACGGCGATGTATCAGTTCTATGAAAATATTCAGGTTAAATCTGCCCAGACTAACTCAGCTCATTAACTAAAAAATTAAAAGGAAATATGAAAGGATCTAGCTACACATTGACTAACACAACATTCTTTTTACAATAGTTGGCTGGTGTTCTATTTTTGGTTTTACAATAAAATATCACAATTATTTCTATTCGTTTTATATCTTCAACAACGTCTAGAACCAGCGTTTTCTGCCCACACGTGTGTGTGAGTTAAACCAAATCATGTGTGTGTGAGTTAAACTAAATCTTGTGTATGTGTGAGCTAAACCAAATCTTTTGTGTGTGAGCTAAACCAAGTCTTGTGTGTGTTAAACCAAGTCTTGTGTGTTAGAGCTAAACCAAATCTTGTGTGTATGAGCTAAACCAAATCTTGTGTGTGTGAGCTAAACCAAATCTTGTGTGTGTGAGCTAAACCAAGTCTTGTGTGTGTTAAACCAAGTCTTGTGTGTTAGAGCTAAACCAAATCTTGTGTGTGAGCTAAACTAAATCTTGTGTGTGTGAGCTACACCAAATCTTGTGAGTGTGAGCTAAACCAAATCTTGTGAGTGTGAGCTAAACCAAATCTTGTGTGTGTGAGCTAAACTAAATATTGTGTGTGAGCTAAACCAAATCTTGTGTGTGTGAGCTAAACTAAATGTTGTGTGTGCGAGCTAAACCAAATCTTGTGTGTAAGAGCTAAACTAAATCTTGTGTGTGTGAGCTAAACCAAATCATGGGAGTGTGAGCTAAACCAAATCTTGTGTGTGTGAGCTAAACCAAATCTTGTGCCTGATGTTTACTCACACATGCACACAAGAGTACACATAAATGCCTGCACGTACGTGCACACATGTGTATGTGTGAACTCGAAAATTTGTATGCATGCATGCGGTGACACACATATGTTTTTATACTATAAGGATATGTTTAAGTGCAGTATTCTAGTATTCTAGACGGAGATATAGAAAAACAATTAATTTAAGTGTTTGTAAATACACCTTTTATTTTCGTAACAAAAAAAAACATTTTAAAAGTAATTAATATGAATGTAATTAATATAACTTTGACAAAATATTCACTTTTTAAAAAAAAATAGTAGATGACATTGTATAAAATCACAATGTGTGTACATGTCTGTTTACTTGTTTGTGTACATGTATATAATGTGTGCGAGTACGGCGTATGACATTCCAGTTCTTCTACCGGGTTAGTGTAGGTTAGCTCTGTGTACTTTTATATAGTCACTAAATCTTAGTTTGTGTACAAGTTTGAAATTTAGAATCGCCTGTGTTTGTGTAGATAATGCAGATATAATAAAACTCTGTTTAGTGTTGATGAGCCTGTGTTTTATATAGTTTTTTGTTCTGTTACTCGTGTTTGTCTGTTTGTATTTAGATTGTGCGAAACCACTCACACAGATATCTAGACATATTCAAACATTTTAACATTCTTTTGTGAATATAGTAAAATCTATATATTTTACAATTAAAAAAAAATATTTGTTTAAATATGCAACCTTAAAGATTAATAACTATTGTTCTTATATTTCGCTTTCAAGCGGCAAACGTTGGAGTTATTAACAAATAAAATAAACCGGGTGTGATCTCCCCAAAACTTTCTCGAATATCCTTATATAATTTGGAATATAGACATGATTTTTAATTACTTTAACTCTTAAAAATAAAATAGAATCTCATAGAAAAAAGAACTGCACACCAAGCGAACGCCAAAACAAAATGTGCATAATAGTGCGCAATATTATTAGTACTTTATAAACTTACATGCGTTTTTTGAGAAATCGGAAATAGCGTAAATTAGTACTTCCGTTTAACGGAAATTACTCAACATTTGATAGAAGGCAGAGAATTAGATTTTTTACTCACGTGTGAAATTTCATTTATGTATCTGTAATAGTACTCAAGTTATAGGCTTTTGAAAAATTCAAAGTAGAAAAAGTACCACTTCCGGTTATTTGAAATCGGTCAAAAGTTGATCAGTATCTACGATTTTGATAAAATACTTTTATATGAAATTTCATCAACCTAGATGTAACGGTACTCAAGTTATCGTGTTTACACACACACAGACAGAGACACACACAGGCAGACACAGACATTCGGACCAGATTGTAAAATGTTGTTTTTCCGTATCAGTGAGGTGTAAAACGTCCAAATCTCGATTTTTTTTTTGCATGATTACAACACTTTCTCTATACTTAGTATATACGAGAAAGTAAAAATGTAAGGAAACCTTCAAGGGAACTTATCAAGATATGTATACTTTGAAATATATTTTATTGGTTATGTCCCTTAGTGCAATTATCATTTAAATATGATCTAATAAAGTGTAAAATGTATGTTTTAGTGAATAAGATATATAACCAAAAGAACATCACAGCAACTTTCTCTTAAAGATTTTAGTCCTGTTGATGCAGTCTCTAACACTTAACACATTATTTTTAAACTGACCTTAGGGAAAATAAGTGTTTATTGTAATTATATAAATACAAATCATAACAGCTCAAAATGAATGTCTTGTTTTTGACTTTGTGGTTATATGTTTTGTTGTTTTGTGAGTTCGCCATGCAGCATGTTTGTGTTGTACTTCTATAAACTAACGATAATAAAACGACTGCAGCGGGATAAATGTCGTGTTGGTCTGAGAAACATTGTTGACGTTACTTCATGTCAACAACTACTAACCCAGCAGCGATAGTTTAGGTGCACTTAATTTATATTTATATTGTCGTACAAAACCTCTCTCCGTACCACACACCAACTCCAATGAATTTATCTGTGCTTTTATCAAGTGTCACACAGACAAGATAAAAACCATCGTGTGATGATACAAATATTCCTAGGGTTCGATAAAATAAGACCGTAGCATCCACATACTGATCAAAAGTTTAAATTGTCACAGACAAGTGTGGGATCATCAAGCTCTTCATAACGAGCACATCTGTTACATATACGTGACTCTGTGGAGTAGAAAACATCTTTATGATTGACATGTTCAAGTTCACACATACAAGCAAAGCTCTGACTATTTGATCCTTAAAAGGAAACGTTGTCTCCTCATTAGTTTATGTTGTAACATTCAGTATTTTTTAGACCATTTTACTACAGGTGGGGGTGGGGGTTAAGTTAGTGTGAGAAGTGGGCATTCTTAAAATATATTTTTTCTATAAAAATTATTATTATATAAAAATATTTTTTTTCTTTCTAATTTTTTGCAAGTGGATGGGAAATGGACGTGCTTAGGTCAATGACCCCACCCACTCCGAAGAGGTGCCTTAAAAGAAATACTGATAACACCTAAAGAAAAATACATTGTATGAGTTATTGTATGTGTATACAAAGACCAAAAACAGAACAACAAAAAATGGAAGTATGGATTATATTTTATTTATATTTTCATAATCATCTATAACGGCATAGTTTAAAACTGTACGTTTAATACCTTCCTCAGTTATTCTGTAATACTTTTCACCCTCTGATGAACACCATTGAAATATTAGCAACATCAAACTCGTGTATTGCTTATTTAACATTAACCTACACGAACTAGATACGTATGTATTACTAAATAGTAATTACATTTTCTGAGATTTTATTACAATTTAAAATGATTTAGCGAGGCCATAATAATAGCAGAAGTAAAAAAAAATCATAGCAAAACGTGTGTGTGTGTACCCATATTCAATTAGTGTTGTATGGGCAAATTATATCCCAACAAATCGTATTCTCATTATATTCTTTTGTTATCACACTTTTACATTAAACCTAGTGCAGACGTTTTTTACCACTGTAAACTTTGAAAAGTTTTAAGTTGGTGTCGTCGTCCCCCCCCCCCCTCCCCTTTGGAATGATATTTTAAATATACGCGCAGAAAAAAAATAGTAGTTGTATACTGTCCATTCGGGCGTTTGTCACATTCGGGCAAATGTCCATTCCGGCATCTGTCGCATTCGGGCAAGTGTCTAATCGGAAGATCGGCCTTCGGGCGAACGGCATTCGGGCAAGTGTCTTTCGGGAAAAATTCCGGCTCCCACTGTGTGCTATGTGAACACGAAAACAAACAAGGAACAGAACGTTTTCTTGGATCGCATTGTGTATTGAAACAAAGCTAGTCGCCCACCCCATAAATACATGGCGCCACCCGGTACGGCCCATCCCCATCCACCTCTCCTACACCTCTGATCTTTTATTGTGTGCCTGTCAAAACTAACTCAGCTATTTACTCTACGCTAAGTGAGTTTTATATTTTATACAAATGATTGAATTGCTGATGTAATATCAAGAATGTTAGGGTACAGATCCCTACAAATACAGGATAAGCTGGTACATACTTGGCATGATTTGATTACAACATCACACGGTTGTTATAAATGATATAGTCACATGATATGTAAAATGGATGATAACACAATTTAAATGTGTTATATGTTAAAGGAGAAGATAAATGACAAGATATTAAGCCAAAGAACGGGACAGTGCAAAGTACACATAAAACATCACTACATGGTACAGATAACTTATGTTATTGACTTGACATTTTGTTCATTGAAGTGAAGCGGCAGTTTGTTACTACTGGAAGTAGAGTCTAAATCAAGGACAAAACAACTGAACACTTTGTTTTATTCTTCAGTCAAAAGTGAGTTCACACTTTCAAATAGTGACGTAAATATTAAATCCGTGTTTTACTCAAAACATGTACGACAACAAGAGAAATTTGAGTTAAATTCTCTGAAATTAATCGTTTATAAATAATATTTAGATAATTTATATATATATATATATATATATATATATATATATATATATATATATATATATATATATATATATATAGTGTATAATACATGTTTGATTCTCACGATGTAGTATGCAGTGAAAAATTTGTATAACGTCTTTCTAAATCGCAATGTACGTTCCAGCGTGTGCATTCTAACTATTTCTGTAATACTCAGATGCGCCCTAGAGTTCAGGTCAAATATGTTACAGAACACATGAACTATTTAGAAGAAAAGATACACGTCATTAAACCTGTGGTTGAAGCTTTGCAAGCTGTAAGTGGTTACTTTCCCTGCCTGTATTCATCATTGACTTGGTGCTTTTTATATTGAGCATGTTGTAGATAAAGATAGAGTTCATTATTTAAAAACTACAAACATTAAAGAAAACAATTTTCTCAAATAACATACTGACACACATATAAATTAAACGCCAAGACATAATGTTTTATGTCAGCAGGCTGTAGACAAAAGTAAGACTTGGTTAGAAGATAAAAGTGACAACAAATCTTTGACATACTGTGATCTATGTCAAGAACTTGAATCAGCGACCACAGCCATGTTGGATGTAGCGGCACATATTTTAGGTAAATATTTTTAAATATAAGTCTCTTTTATTTTAATTGATATTCTGTTAAATCTCAATAATTTAATACAAATAATAAAGTAAAAACTGGACAATTAAATATGTTTTGTATTTATTTAAAATTAATATATTTTCATATTATCAAATAACATTAATCATTTATATAAATTCTAAAGAAAGTATTTTACATACAAAACTTAACATACAAAAATTGAATTAATAAATATTCAATATTATGTAAAACTTCAAGTGAATTATTATTATACATATTTAAAATAATTTATGTTCTCTGAAAATTAAAAGAGGAAAATAAAGACATTGTTGAAGATGGAAGGTCATTTTCATCTCAGTCTACCTCAAAAACAATAGCAACAGAAAAATGTGGCACTAGTCAGTCAACAGATCAAATTCTTAACGAACGTTATAAACCATCAGGTATCTATACACATATTTTTACAAAAAAAAACATTAAGTTAAAACAAATATTTTCAAGGTGAATGACTCAAATATATTAGCATATTATAATGATTTTCAAACTTTATTTCTATTGTGATTGACTTAATTTTATATTGCCCTAGAAATATTGAGTCGACTTGAGCAGATAGAGACAGCCATATCTTCTCTACAAGATGTCAGTCGACTTGAGCAGATAGAGACAGCCATATCTTCTCTACAAGACGTCAGTCGACTTGAGCAGATAGAGACAGCCATATCTTCTCTACAAGACGTCAGTCGACTTGAGCAGATAGAGACAGCCATATCTTCTCTACAAGACGTCAGTCGACTTGAGCAGATAGAGACAGCCATATCTTCTCTACAAGACGTCAGTCGACTTGAGCAGATAGAGACAGCCATATCTTCTCTACAAGACGTCAGTCGACTTGAGCAGATAGAGACAGCCATATCTTCTCTACAAGACGCCAATGACAAGTCTACAGATGACATATCAGAAATAAAACAATGGAGAGACAACTTTGTAACAGAACAGAGTGACATGACGGTAAACATTGAACAACTAGCTAAAAAACAAAAGCAGAATTTTAAAAACCTCAGAAAACAAATCAGTGAACAAGATAACAAAGTAAAGGAGCTGAACAAAGAAATTGAAAGTTTAAAAGAAAAAGAAACCAAGTCAAACAAAACACAAGAGAAACTGTCCCTAGATATGAAAGAATATGAAAACAACTTACTCAAAATAAATAAAAAGATGCAAGATCATGCAGACAAAACAGACAGTATAACTCAAGAAATGAAAAGACATTCTGATAAGATGTCTACCCTACAAGAAGAGAGTTCTAAAAACATGCTGAATACATCAACTCAATTAGAAAAGGTAAAATTGCTAATTATGTGTGTACACAATTTTACTCATGCTGGCCAGATAACATATTTCACATTTAATAGCCTGGTTAAATCAAAAGACAACTTCGTAGCTATATCGCCAGTTATACTTTAATATTATTACTAGATTTAAAACACATATTTATGTTAGTTTTAATGTGCAGTAAAAATAATCAAAATTTAATTCCATTAATTGAATCTTTTTCTCTTTTGCACAGTTTGATGTACAAACTCCTACAACAGAGATTAATGCCCATTGACAAAATGATTCAAATTTTTAACCAGAACTTTGAAACTAGGGAAGAAAGAAAAACGAGGGTAGGCCTATATGTATAGTGATTTTATTAAAAATTAAATTGCGACGTTGATAAATCCGGTGTTAAATATTAACACTCTGTTAATAAACCAGTTAATAAAATAAATTAAGCAATAAATTTATAATTTCAAAAAGAAACATACTTTAAATTATTTTTTATTCTTACAAGTTGCCATTCAAAAGTTAATGTTAGTGCAGCAATTGTATGTTCTAAGAAACTATATGACTTCTTCATTCATTTTATAACATATACATTTTAGGTGGAAAATATTGAAGATGCCATTTCAAAATTGTCAAAAGATTTGAATCTAATAGGTACGTTTATAAAACAAATCATATAACCAGACTGACCATAACGTGATGTTCGTTAGCCAGACATACCATAACGTGATGTTCGTTAGCCAGACAGAGCATAACGTGATGTTCTTTAGCCAGACAGACCATAACGTGATAAAGAATGGAACATTTCACTCACCCATAATTAATTCAATGGATAATGATCATCCACAATATGAGTTTTGAAAATGTAAATGCACATTGTATGAATCAAATAGTCAGAGCATGTATAAAATTAAACATATAAATCATACATATGTTTTCAAATCAACAGAGTCACGTGTATGTAACAGATATGCTTGTCATGTACAGCTTGCTCAACCCAAACCTGTCAGTGATGGATCAATTATGTCAACATTTGGTGAAGTACGTGAATATAACGGTCAACATTTTAATCAAACAACAGGAAAATTTGTATCACCACATGATGGTTTATACCTTGTCTGTGTAGCTCTACATGAATGGGAAGATGAACTGATTAGAGTCGCTGTGGTGGCTGGAGAAGAGTGGTGTAAGTTTATAGAAGTGAAATGTGCCGACACTAGCGCTGCTGGTTCAGTGGTTGTTGACATGAAGAAAGGTCAAGAACTTTACTTTCAAGTGTTTAAAGCAGATCAAGGCGCAACGTTATCCTGGCCTAGTAGTTGTACAATTGTTAGTTTATAAAAGTACAACACAAAACGTGGCGGCTAATAAATTCTCAAAACAATAAAATATATAACCAACATGTTAAACAGACGCTACGAACTTAGTATGTGTGTAGAATAACATGTATACACAAATTTTAATGGTTTATAATATGTTGTTTGTTTAGTCATCATTACAAAATTCCAGTGTGATCACCAATTACTATGTTCTACTTCACTAAAATAAACATAGGCCTATGTTATAGCGCAAATACAATAAGACTAGACTTGTAGAGACTAATAAAGACGGTGTGAACTTGACGGTAGACGATTTGGTTCGAGAGTATGTGCGCGTGTTTGACTAAACGTTTGTGGCGTGAGTGTGGCGTGAGCGTGACGCAACAATGTTACTGATGACGTAGGACACAGGAATTAAGACAGTTGTGGGTTAGCTATTGTAGAAAAAGGCGTGTTGTTTAATTTGGTAGTGTAGTTCAAGTTCATTCAGTATTAGTATTTAAGAATAAAGTAATTCTATTTTTTTTATCGAAGTTGTTCCTATCGTTAACTTAGTGTCGACGGAAATTAAGAGTGTTCCCGTCCTCATCACTTGGTTATAGTTGAAGTGTTAGTTATAAGAGTAGTCATCAAATTGTTTCATATAGCATCTTATACATTTTCCGCCATCACAGAAAGGCTAAATAAATGTTCATTTTACAGTAACATCTACATGTAAGTAATATATATGCTAAAAAAGGTTCATTTTATAGTAACATCTACATGTAAGTAATAGATATGCTAAATAAAGGTTCATTTTGAAGCAACATCTACATGCAAGTAATTGATAGTCGAATTAAATGTTTATTTTTAAGTGGCATCTCAACATTGGTGAATAGTAAATTCATCATAGATTCACGTGACACTTAATAACAAACAGTGGCGTAGCTAGTGCAATGCGGTTTGAAAGGGCTTTCAAACCGCACTCCACTAGCTACGCCTATTCTCTTAGTCTTAACACGACGACGTCCCGCGTCTGGTTGGTGGGGAAGGAAAGCTCGGTGAGAGCCCACGGAAGTAGCGACCGATGTGTGGGGAACTCTCTCGGGGTTTGCCACACTGAGGCCTGCCTGGCTAATGGAAGTCAACCTTCTGAGCCGGTTTCCGTATAAGGAAGGAAGGAAGTATTGAATACTGACAGTCAAAGTGTGGCACCAAAACAAAAAGTAGTGACTGGTAAAAAGCGCACCAACCTTCCAACTGGTGCTGCGCGGAAGGGGGTGGGTAGGGGGGCTGTATTATTTTTCCTTACGCCAATAAGTATAATTTAAGTGGGAGGGGGCACAAAATTGATAGTTCGCCCGGGGCCGGCTTGGGTTGCTACGCCTCATATAGCAAATAACTGCAGATTCAATAGTCCCAGTTAAATTCTTATACTGCAAGACAAAAACGTGACGTAAACGACGGTTTTTACTTTCAGCTCAAGCTTGCCTTTTACCGCCTCAACATATCACATATCGTGCTTCAATTTCGCATTTTACCGCCTCCACATTGACCTATCATGTTTTCATTTCGCATCTTAACTTCACCCACGTTAGTCGCTGCGTAAACAATTAAAACGACGTGTTTGATATCTACAATTGTTTACTTACCTATAGATATAATGTTGTTTTGATGATATAGATTGCTTATTGTGGCCAGTGCCGGCGACAGGTTATTTAGCGCCCTAGGCAAAACTTATTAAAAGCCCCCCCCCCCCCCCACCCGCAATTTTTTTCGTGCCCCCATATTATCAGCGGCGTAGCGACCCTTCCCGGTGCCCGGTGACAAACATTCGATTTGCACCCCTCACCCCTCAAACTTTCAATTTGTTTTTCCAACCTATTTTGGCGCCCTAGGCTACAGCCTAGTTTGCCTTATAGGTAGCGCCGGCAATGATTGTGGCTGATCCACACGTAGTTAAATCATAAATACATGAGAGATAACTCTCATAATGACATCGCGTTTCGGGAAAACCCGCTATTATATAACAGAGGAAGTTCTGCTACTGTACAAAATTCCAGTCGTTTGATTCCTTACAACAAGAGTAGATCTAGGACTACTTAAGGTACTGCTAATCTTTAATCTATATAATATATATTTTTAAAATAGCATTTCCCTTTAATATAACCACACAACCTAAAAATAATGAATTTAAAACAAAATGAAAAGCCCTGCTGCATCTTTAATTCTTACTCAGTTATTAAATTGTCTTTAGTATAAAGTTTGATATTAAAACATTTCCATAAAATAAGTATATCATATACTCATTGATTAGAAAAGTATGTAGGTCGTTTTATTAAAAAAAAGAGAATTTTATTACTGTATTTAGGCAATTCACAGAAAAAATTGTTAAATTAGTTCATCACAACGCTGGATAGATAAAGAAAGTGAAAAACGGAAATACCCAAGTGTATAACTTTAGCAAGCAGGATATAGCATTAGTAATGCCAAAGAAAACTATCTCATTTTTATATGTATTACATAATTAACTGTAACATTAGTTAACAGATCTAAATAAGTATAACAATACTTATATCAGTTTTCATTTAATTGTGGATTGCCAGTTATAGTTTAATAATTTAGGACAAAAACTTAGTCTTGGTAGATTTATAACTCATTTATTAGATTTTATTTCATTGTTATCATTAACTCTTTTTTTACTTAATTAATTTCTGGATGAATTTTTTTTTCTTAAACATTGAATTATTATATTGCTTTTGGTATACTTGACTCAATGGAGATTATAAATATATAAATGATTATAAAGATTAAATTAAATTTAAAATAATAACTAAAGTGCTAGGCTTACTTATAAGTACCTTCAGTAGCTAAGGGATTTAATTCTGGCGGATGAGCGCAGTGGATTAAGATTTAGTTATAAAAATACGTTATACTAACAATAACTCCACTATCAGCTCTATTCAAGGATACTTTACGATATAGTCATCTACATATTGATAGACATTGATGACATGTGTACTGGACTGACTATTCTATTGAATAAATGAGCAGTTATTACTTTGCTTTAATTATCGTGTGATGTTATTATTATTTTATTTGTAAAATTTTCAGTGGAATAGTAATATAATTAAGGTTTGTGTTGATGAAATCAAATAGGCTATATATTTCCGGGGGGGGGGGGGCGGACACTATTAAAAGTATATATTTTCGATATTTAGGGGGGCGGTAGACTATCTTCGGGGGGGGGGGGGTTACCTTGAAGAAACACTTCTTCTTCTTCGTTCTTAATTTTTAGTGTTGGAAGGGATCAAGTCTTATTTGCCAGAAGAAACACTGCTTTAGTTTAGCTTAGTGACGATGACAGAGTTAACATATTTTTTCTTTAAATTTAGTGTTATTAACATTTAGATGCCTTCAAGAATTCACGTTAAGTTTGTTACAGAGCGCAAGAAATATTTGGAAGAACAGATACAAGTTCTGGAACCTGTTTTGGGAAATATGAAAAATGTAAGTCATTACAAACTAAAAAGTCTTCGTAATACTTAAATCATTTTACTTACGACAAAGTAGGTTTAGCGTTTTTCGAAGTGCATGTGTTAAAAAACACAGAACAACATCACGTGTTTAGGACTATAGCACTTCAACACGTGACCACTCTAAACTTTTGTTGTTGTTTACTTTCATCAGGTTGTTGCAAAAAGTAAGGCGTGGCTAGAAGAAAAAACTGACCAATCATTTGTAAGCTACATCGAGCTATCACAAGAACTGGACACAGCAGCCACGGCCTTGTTGGATGTGACGTCACATATTTTAGGCCAGTACTTTGATAGTTTTTTTTTATAATTTAAAGCCTCAAAGCCTACGATCATGAAGACTGTGTGTTCAGTAATGTAGCGTTTCTACTGAAAATAAAACGGGAGTGATTTCCCCTAAACTTTCTCGAATATTCTTAAATGAAACAACAGGGGATGGCAACTCAGGATATAAAGACCTGATTTTTAATCCATTTTAAATACTTAAACTTTTAAAAAATAGAATAAAATATCGTAGAAAAAAGAATTGCACAACAAATAACGCCAAATAAAATGTGCATAAAAGTGCGGAATATTATTAGTACATTATAAATTGACATGCGTTTTTCGAGAAATCGAAAATAGTGAAATTGTCTACTTCCGGTCAACAGAAATTACTCTAAATTTGATAGAAGGTAGAGAATTAGATCTTTTACTTACATGTGAATATTCATTTATCTATCTAAAACAGTACTCAAGTTATATGCTTTTGAAAAATTCAAAGTAGAAAAAGTTCCACTTTCGGTTATCGGAAAGTTGATATGGATCTACAATTTTGATATAATACTTATATATGAACTTTCATCAACCTAGCTGTAACGGTATTCAAGTTATCTTGTTTACAGACACACAGACACACACACGCGCACACACACACACATACGGACAAGATTGCAAAACAATGTTTTTCCGATTTTTTTTCAACATTACAAGACTTTCTCTATACTTCGTATAATGCAACGAAATTGTTTACAGTTTAGTTTACAGATATTTCAAATACTGTGTTAAAGGGATATATCATTTTACTGTCGACCGACTAACAAACCCTTTTCCACTTTTATATAAAATCGACATAACATTAGTGAATCTTGTAAATCCTTATATTTAAAAAAAATGAAGTATTTACAATCACTTTGTGTTACCTTATTCGCCCTAAAACAAGGTTCAACAGCCTTAAAGGTTTATAGAACATTAAAAGTTTGTTTAAATTTTTTTTTATAAAATCGATAATTATTCTTGTAAAAGTTAGATTTAAAACGAAACAGCATGTACATTATATAAATTTCGGGCATTTTGGAACAGTTTGTGTTTGTATATATTTGTATCATATTCAAAGTTCTTGTTGATCACAGTATTACGTGGTTTGCGTTATAGTTTAACAAGCTAAAATAGCGACATTTATTGTGTGTACTATAAAATCATTGTTTACTTCAACTGAACTTAAAATAAAAGTCTAAATCCCAATCCACCAGACGAGGACAACATGGATGTCAACAAACCAACGCCATCTTTACCACAGCCTGACACACAGATATCAGCAACATTCCTAACAGTAGAATCTAAAAGACAACTAATCACACAAGTTCAACATACAACTGGTATATTATAGTATGCTTTGGTATAACACGTCGGTAAATAGCATCATATGCTGGATATAATTTTAAAATATGTTTATGTATTGTATTTTGCAAACCAATTTACGATTGATACCTTGGTTTCATTTAATTTTCAAGATTTCGGAAATTTTAAATTTTAAACTTATGTTTACGACTATTTTCAGTTGAAATATTTTATAATAACGTTTCTAAGTTTAACGCTGTTTTAAGGAACATACTTATAAAAGTTCAAGCCATTTCAAATTATAAACTGAATACTTGTGACTATCCCCAGCTGAAGAACATCCTGACCTAGAGCGAAGACTCGCCTATATTGAAACAACACTATCTTCACTACAGGACACACAACACAAGTCTACAAATGACATATCAGAAATAAAACAATGGAGAGACAACTTTGTAACAGAACAGAGTGACATGGGGGTAAACATTGAACAACTGACTAAAAAACAAAAACAGAGTTTTAAAAATCTTAGAAAACAAATGAGTGAACAAGATAACAAAGTAAAGGAGCTGAACAAAGAAATTGAAAGTTTAAACGAAAAAGAAAACAAGTCAAACAAAACATTAGAGAAATTAACTCTAGATATGAAAGAATATGAAAACAACTTACTGAAAATAAATAAAGAGATGCAAGATCACACTGATAAAACAGACAGTATAACACAAGGAATGAAAAGACTTTCTGATTTGATTGTTTCTTTACAAGAAGATAATAAAAACGTGGTCGATAAATCAACTAAACTTGAGAAAATGCAATCAAAGGTAAACATTCAAATTACTAATTAAATGAGTAAACAATTATACACCTACTTACCGGTTTACCAACTCCATATACTATAACCGAATTGTAACATGTAATTAAAAGTCAGTTGATTGAATTTTTCCACCAATAAAACTTTTGATTTTGAAACTAATTTTATGTCTGCAATTTTAATCTACAATAGAAATATTCAAATTTGTAATAATTAATTTAGCACAATGTGATGTACAAACTCCTACAACAAAGACTGATGCCCATTGACAAACTGATTCAAATCTTTAACCAGAACTTGGAAACTAGGGAAAAAAGAAAAAAAAAGGTATGTTTGTAATCATTTTATTAAACAATAAATTGCTACATTTAATAAAGAAATGCAATAATTACTTACACGCAGTTATTAGTCCAGTCATTTTCATCCTTTTTCGTTAATACATTTATATTTATAAAACAGCTTCAAATTATTTTGAATTCTTACAAGCCATTTCCAATTATTGTCATTGAAGCTATTGTTTGTTATACGTAACTATGTGATTATTCCATTTACATAATTTTACTTGTATTTTAATTTAGCTTGACAATATTGAAAATACTATTTCAAAGCTGTCGAAACATTTTCATCTGATCGGTAAGTGTGCTTTAAAAAAACGAACGAAAGAAAATGAATAAATTATTAATTTAAAACAATAATAATTTAACAGGAAATATACTTTATTTCTAGTGAAAATGTTACACAACTAATAGTTTGACGTAGATGGACGGAGTGGTCTAGTGCTAGAGAGCTGGACTGCTAACCCGTAAAACTCGATTTCGAATCCGGGTTCAAGTAAGTAGACCGTCCCTGAGTCCACCCAACTGTGATGGGTACCTAACTCACGTTAGGAAAAGTAAAGGCGGCTGGGCATAGTGCTGACCACACTATCTCTTCATATGCCGAGGTCACAGAAACAAGTGAACTCTACTTCACTTGCCCCATAGACCGTCAGGTTTGAAAAGGGAAACTTTAATTTACTTTACTTACTTTATCGTAGAGTAATCGATGCTAACCGATCTGTACTTTTGCTTACCTCTTTTCGATTTCTTTTCATCCTCTCATTTGCCCCTCTCCCACCCCCACCCCCCGTCCTGCCCTACAAATTGCTGTCATTACACGGACAGACCATAACGTGATGTTCGTTAGCCAGACAGACCATAACGTGATGTTCGTTAGCCAGACATACCATAACGTGATGTTCGTTAGCCAGACAGACCATAACGTGATATTCGTTAGCCAGACAGACCATAACGTGATGTCCGTTAGCCAGACAGACCATAACGTGATGTTCGTTAGCCAGACAGACCATAACGTGATAAAGAATGGAACATTTCACTCACCCATAGTGCCAGTCTCTAGACCCGTGGGTTTCCGTCTGGTGTTTGTTTCCTCACCTGGTACATTACACCACCTGGTACATTACACCACCTGGTACATTACACCACCTGGTATGTCGGGGGTCGACCTACAGCGGTCTACCTTAGTTCAGTAAGACATTTACAGATCTGTAGTTTAAAATAAAATAATTTCAATTATCGTCACATCATCTTTTTATGTTTCTAACATAAAGACAAAGTCCCATACGAGCCAGGGGTTAAATCTAAAATAAAATAATAACTGAAAGACAAAAATAATTATTATATTTGTAACATCTTAGTATTAAATTAATGTATTGTAACATGAAATGAGCTATAGAATAGGTTGATGGTGCTAATTTTGTCAATCGTTTTATTAGAGTTTCAAAAGTACAACATAATAAATTTAGTACTAGAGATTCTTGTTACGATAAATTAACCATACAAAATTAAACTATACGGACTGAATGATTATAACATAACGCATATAACATTTGTCGTACCATTTGTGAGGTATTAATTGAAATACTACCCTCGCAGTTTCAGTACGTAGGACTCGATAAACTAACACCACTAAAACTGAGGACCGTACTAATCTAGTGGTCTAGTGTTTCAATTTGTCGTCTTAGACAAAATTATGTAAATTTTATGGATTATTATACAGAATGTATTTTGTTTTTAATGTTTGATTTGGGTTTGCCCTTTTTGCTTACATTTTGAGAAACATTCAAAGCACATATAATTAATTTATGTTTAGGGTTAGTAACATAAACTAATAATACGACAAAACAAATATTATGGATCAAATAATCAGAGCATGGGGATCATCCATTTATGGCGTCCACACGTGGAAGGCGGGGGGGGGGGAGGTTCGAATAAAATATACTTTTGTAAATGCGTGTGGACTTGATATGAGGGGGGGGGGGTCGGGTCATTATCAACGTCCACATGTTGAATTTAACAACAAAATACTTTTTAAAAAATGCACATAAAATATTGGTTATACATTAAATATGCAGTTCTCGTGTTGAATTTTCCCAAGACAACGGGTGTATAAATGTAGCCAAAATGTAACTGTATACCACCAGCCTAGGAAAATAAGCGGACATTTTTTTAATTTTTGGGATGGGGAGGGGGCAGTGACTGCATCAATTATCTAAAATATTTCAC